TACTGGCTTATTTTGATTATTATAGAACACATTACAATCAAATTGTCAACATGTTATTAGTGTCACCAGAGTTGATGTTACTCACGGGCAATAAGTGTACTGACTTATATTTAATATTAGACATCTTATTTCGCAGTAGAGAGTAATTATCTGAATATTTGCGTTCGAAATCGAAGTTTCATAATTGGGTCTCGAGGCGGCAGCGTCTGTGCGACGACGCCTTCATAGAGCACCTAATATTTATTGCAAAGCACTACATCGCCTGTATAATTATATACAATACAGGCTACAATTATAAGTCGAGTTGGAATTAGACATTATTAGTCGTTTACTTAATGAACCGTTGTGTTTATTTTATATACTTAGGGTAGAAACAGAACGCGCCCAAAATACGCTGACAATAAACAATTGTTTCTACAGTTTTAATTGTTTTTGTTTACATTTTGATTACTGCGGGTCGGCGTTACTAAAGTCGGCATTTTTCGGGAAATTTCCGTTTACACCCTATATTATGTATAACTTATTAGCAATAGCAAAAATGATACATAATATAAAAAAACTATGTACTGTAAATAAATAAAGAAAAAGTTACAATGTCAACTTATAAAACATGGTGTTGTTATTTGATTAAAATTCTATTAATTATAATGTCTTAGTAAAAGTAATTGAAGATGTCATCGTAATTATAATAATCAAAATGTGTGATTAAGTTGTATTTCGTCGTGTGAGTGAGGTTACTGGAGGCCCAATTACCCCCTCCCCAAACTCCCTAATCCCTGAATCCCAAACAATCTTCAAACTCCTAATCCCCAAAAGGCCGGTAACGCACTTGTAACGCCTCTGGTGTTTTGGGTGTCCATGGGCGGCACCGATTACTTACCATCGGGTGATCCGTACGCTGGTTTACCGGTTTATACCATAAAAAGTTGGATTGCATTTTAAACCGAAATAAAACAATGAGCTTCCAGACATTAGTTAATAACGCGGTAGAGGAAGTAAAATGTGGCCATGATTTGGTGCAAGTCAGAATGAGTATAGCACGAATAAGTACATCAAGTAAAATGATCTTATTATAGAAATATGTTTCTAATGAAACAACACGACAGGCTGATATCGCGAGAAAATGTGGAAAGTGGCTGGCTTGTTTGCAGCACGCATCTTCTTACATGAACTGGTGCAACTTGGTCATTTGATACGATCTCATTATTCTAGACTAGATCAATTGATGTGAATGATTACGTACGAATGATGACGTAGAATTTTAGGTTCTACGCACTTCGAAATGTATTAAAGACCAGCTGTTCCCCGCGAATCGTCCGAGTAGAATATGATTCCTGTTTTATCCCATGGGAGCATTTAATAGAGATAAAGATATCCTATCACCTAAGTCGGCCTGTATACCAAATTTCATCAAAATCCGTTCAGTAGTTTCAGCGGGTTTGACGGACAAACATCAAAGTAAAGTAACTTACACATGTATATTATTAGTGGGATTAAAACATCAATTTAAACATGCACCTTCGTTTGTATGATAACGCGTTTAATGTTTTTTTTATGTAGAGTACCTATATATTTATTAACTCTGTGATCTTTTATAAATTTCTCTCTGCCGTTATATTGTTACATTTTGGAAATATAAACTACGTTTATTGAATTGTCTACATGCTGTATCATCGTAGTTACGGTGCGTCACATCACAGTAAACATATTTTAACGAAAATTATTTTAGAATTAGATTATTTGTATTCAAATAAATATACCTCTAGGTACCTACAATGTTTTTAGTCAATTCCTCATCCTTCACTATCAACGACCTATTATGGGTATACCTAACCATAATATGACTTAAATGAGGAAAAATATCAAATAAATGAAAATTACAATACCACACAGCGCTAGGAAAAATTAAGAGGGAATTTTGTAGCACATATAATTTAAGAAACTCGGAAAATGATATAAGTTCTACATTTATAACCAAAACATAGCTGTATTTTATAGAAAAAAAAAACTTGGAATCGAATAATGTTTACGTAGTGACATCAGAACCAGATCTAAGAAAATATGAGATGGAAAAAACAGTTGTTTATTAAAGTAAAGGTACTTGTATTGAGTAACAGGTATTGTAATATTAATAGGCTGAGATAAACATAGTGGCAATATAGCAATAGCTACATGATTAAAAACAAATCCGCCGTTGTAGGATATTTGGACTTAAACTGTTAAATAACATACAATCACAACATTGATTTCGTAACTCTAATAATATACATATATGGGTGTATAGTTTTTTTCTAGATTTTTAGGATTTTAGGATTAGACATTAGTCAATCAATATCAATACGCTATCTTAGAAGGTGGATAAGTCACAAGCTACAAGCATTTCTGCTACATGACTTCATTGGTATTATAGAAAATAATTATAATGACACAGTATTAATACATTTTAGGAACAATTTCGTCGGATCGGTCTCCACATTATGATTCGTATCTGAGACCCCAAGAATCAGCGACTGAGTTATTGTCCCTCTATACCTACATGTGTTAGAGCAAATTTTTTGTTAGGTTCGAACTGGCTCTATTAATAACAAATTGGTTTCCGAATGGTTCGATTGTATAAAAAACTAAATTGGCCTAATAAATCATACTGTATTGTTACTCTTAACTGCCTTGTAGACCTTTTGCAAAGTATCGCAATAAACACAGGCGTTTAGATATTTAATTTGTAGTTATCCGCCTGCGGCTCTTTCCGATCACCAGGGTACCTAATGTTACAAAGGTATGTTAGAAAGACCCTTTTGTAGTACCTGTCGTTCAAGTTCGTGTCACTCTATATTTTTTAATTTATTATTTTAATGCAGCTCACTGACTCACGGCGCGACGCGTCGCCGCGACCGCGCACGCTGCTCATGAGGAAGAACCCCTCAGTGGTTCGAAACTAGTAGAGCTTTTCTCAGTATATTCACTTGAGTAACCCGTAATTTCAGTTTATTTATTATGTCTCACGATAGTTATTATTATCTTTACCTTCTACGTTAGTTGCTTCGTTCACAATTCCTATAAAAATAAATCATTTCCAACTTCTCCTGATCAAATGAGAAATACATTTTGTTCAAGAGCCACAGTAATTGAATACATTGTGCTAAAACATTAATAATACATTTTATTGAATTCATTGAGAGTCATTCAAAGTAACAACAAGCAAAACGGGTGAAAATGCAGAAGGTATAGCTGTGTGCAAAACAATACTGTAATGAGGTATTTTCAAAGTAGTACTAAGGTGTACTTGCAAAGTTGAAATATTTATAATTTTCATGTTACTCAATGTGTATAGAAAATATGCGTCAATAATTATAAGTAAGGTAAGTATACCTTACTATAAATATTATATTAATCTCATATAGGTACTATCATATAAAGCTGAAGAGGTCGTTTGTTGGTTTGAACGCCCTATCCTCCGAAACTCCTGGTCCGAATTGAAAAATTCTTTTAGTGTTGGATAGTCCATTTATCGAGGAAGGCAACAGGCTATAAAACATCACGCTACGACCAATAGGACACGACAGGTTGAAACCGCGAAGAAGTAGATAGTATAAAATGTATTACCACGTCTCGTATTAGCTACGTCTGTCTATATCACTTTATTGTATTGTAGTACAGTGCCCGGCGACAAATATTGCACATCAGCCTTTTGGAAACTTACATAATATATTTTATTGAAGTATTCTATTGTTTTGAGACTTAACTCGTGCGTTTTCGTTAGATCTTTAAATAATATTCTATTTTAGTCATCCGACCGAAATCCTACATAATGAAGTATTTTTACCCGACCCTAAAAAGAAGACGGAAGTTGATGTCGATTTTTTAAACATAGTTAAGTATATTTTTTTTTAAAACTATACTCAGTGTCTTTTCAGACCTATTTTAGCTAGAAGTTCCGACGTGCAATATTTACCAGCGGGTATTGTTGGTATCATTATCTATTAGGTATATATTTCATAATTTATGGAAATTGTAATCGAACTGTGTTTGTGTTGTGTTATGACATGACTATGACCGTTGCAAAAACTTGTAAATTAGTAGATAGAAATGTTTTATGTATTTTGATTATAATTTTAGTTTTGTTCTGTTGCGTATTAATACCCGAATTACAAAAAGGAGGTTATCTATTTTTAGTACTCATAGACTCATATTGACCCTCAGTCAATAAACCCAAGAAATTGGTTATGTTCTTCATACCCAAAGAATCAAATAAAATACATATTAAATTGTATGTTTTGTGTAGTACACAAAAGTGTCAAAAGAAAAGTACGAGTATGTCGCCAGTTTCGACACAGTACTAAACTTCGGTGTCTATTTTTATAAATAGTACCTAATCCAATTAATTTCCAAATAGATAAGTCAGAGGTTCATATATCCAATAATAGAATAGTAATCTGCTCCGAGAATCGTACTTAGCACCTCATGAATTGTAACCGTTCTTACAACAACGGGGCGAACAAAACAGTTATATCACCAATAATTTCAAAACTGGGCCGTTGCCGTAGTATCTCATTGATAGCGAATTATCGCCGTAGTGCCGTACAAGAGGCATACGTAGTTGTTGTACTTGACGACACATGCACAAAAGCTTGCTACGCGCTTAATGTTAATGTTGCTTAACTAGGGACGGTTCTGGCAAGTATCACATAATACTCACTCAATGTTAAGCAAATTTAACAAATATACGGTGCCATGACATTAAATACAATCATTTACAAATCAAGCCCACGATGATGTGCAATCACAATCATGCAACGAAAAGTAAAGGGTAGCGCTTAACTTTAGAATTTAAGAAACGTAAAGTTGTGCAAATTGAATTAGAAACATATTATGATTTAAGTATTATTATGATGTTTTGTAAACTTTTACACTATATAGCGGCAGTCACCTGGTGCTGAAGAGTTTTCTTGCAAAGTTAAGGGTAGGTAACAATAACGTAGTCATTTAATTAGCAAACTGACCTGTTTCGTACGGAAGATCTTGATGCGAGGGTGAGATTCCTCTGGGGTAATCGCGGCGCCGACGAAGACGCCGGCGGGGTTTGGGGCGCGGGCGGAGAAGTGCGGGGCAAGCGACCACCCGCCGCTGCCGCGCCCGCCAGCAACACCACCATCCACCACCTGTTCATCACGAGAGCACGATATGCACGAGACGCGCGACTCACGCTTCGAAACCTACTGTCACAACGGCCACTCGCCGACTTACGGCGTCGTCTGCGCACGCAACGCCGTTCACTTTTGTTGTGCTTGTGGTAGCGCCCCACTCCTATGAAAGTGGGCTTTCACTAGAGCCCGCGGCCGCGCAGCCAACACCGCGCTAGTCGTGGCCCAGCCCTCAACATCTGCCAACTGAAGCGCACCTACTTAAGTGCTTTAGCTAATCCGAGGAATCAACTGTACACGCAAAAATATAAGTAGGTATACTTTTCCTAAGTACATACATGTAAGTACAAGTTACCCCTACAGACACCAACACGTCAACTTATTCTTTTCTGTAAAATTATATTCTTACTTATCGTATTTTTATGTTACCTGAGCCAACCTAACTTTATGTGATCTACATCGTTTAAAATGCCAATTTTAAACGATGTAGATCACATAAAGTTAGGTGCTTGCTATAATTAACCTGGGAAAATAAGCGTACGTGCCTAATTATAGTAAAGATCTCAAATGGCATAAACCGTTTTTTGATTTTTGATTATCACTGCCACGTTGGCCGAGTGGTCGTAAGTGCAACTGCCGGGCAAGGGGTCTCGGGTTCGATTCCCGGGTCGGACAAATTGTACTGGGTTTTTAAAAAAATATCAGTAGTAGTAGCACGGAGTCTGGAATTGTGCCCGATATATAGCAATAGGCTCATCCTCTATTACATGGGACTCATAACATAAGTGTGGGAGAATCATGCTTCGGCACAAATGGGCCGGCTCGACCGGAGTGATACCACGACCTCACAGAAAACCGACGTGAAGCAACGCATGCGTTGTGTTTCGTCGTGTGTCATGCTTTTGAGAGTGAGTTTGTGAGTAAGATTACCAGAGGCCCAATTACCCTCCCCTTTCCCAATCTCCCCAATCCCTAAATCCCCAACGATCCTCAAACTCCTAATCCCCAAAAAGCCGGTAACGCACTTGTAACGCCTCTGGTGTTCCAGGTGTCCATGGGCGACGCCGATTGCTCACCATCAGGTCATCCGTCTGCTCGTTTACCGGCTTAGGCCATAAAACAAGAAAAGTTGGTTTTACGTCTGTGTGCACCTCTGCCTACCCCTTCGGGGATAAACGCCGTGATTTTATGATTATCAAATTTCTATAGACGTGGACGCCTATAGATTTACTTTTGCACGTCTAACACCTGGAAGTACTTGCAGCTGCGCTATAATAGATGTAGGTATTGAGACAAGAGCTAAGTGGTAAAAGAAATAATTTGAACAAGTGTTTAGCCGGATATTAGCGAGCTCAGACAGTCAAATACTCTTCAGCTTAAATAGTAGTAAGACGATAAAATTGTACCCCAAGTAACTAATGAGGTCGAGCCAAGAGTCATCAAATCCAACATTGCAATGGCCCTTATTCAATTACTGTGATAAAAAAAACAAGCTAAAACTTAGTATTCCAAAATGCTGCTGCATATGCATACATGATGCAAAAATAAAAATGTTTTAGATAATAGGTAATAATATTTATCTCTGCTGACCGAGCATCCTACCTACGTGTGTTGTGTGAACAGTTTGTACACAATTTCCAATCACACAAAAATTCCGTATAAATGTAAGTATATATTAATGTCTAACAATTATTTTAAATTTTTGACTTAGTTTTAACGTAAGTACCTCACCATCTGGCGCTATGGCGCATCTCATATTCAATGGTGCTAGCGCCATCTATTGCATATGAGATTAACATATTATGGGAAATACCTAGCATCCTGTTGAGTATACCCAATCTGACTACACATGACGACTAAAAATAAAATAATAACTTAACACAGTCAGTTTAGCATGCTAAAGGAAGTGTATTTAAAAAAATCTGTCCATTTGAGCGTGATTTCCCGAACATTTGAATGTGACTTCACCCCCACCTAGCAAACTGGCAGATTAAGCCTTTAACTGCCGATAAAAACTGTTAAAGGCTAATCCTCCGATAGTGACGGGCATCATTGTCCGACACGACATCTAATGTGTTAAGGTTTTTTCATTATCAGAGATACATGGAGCATGCACACTTTCAAAGAATTTTACAAATCGAACCTGTGGTTTAGTCGGATCAAACGGATTAGGTATTTACTCTATGCCATATACACAAAGAAATCGAACATTCAGGCAAGATGTTGTACAATGAGGGAGCCTTATCGCTTCAAGCCGTTCAAGCTTAAGAATATTCCTACTGAAACGAATATAAAAAGTATATTGTCCGGTTTTATTGTCGTAATATTATATTTCCAATATTATGATTTCCTGTAGGTATCCATATATTAATAAGTATACCAATATATGTTTGTTTATCATCATGCACAAGAAAATAAATTAGTGATTTGATCTGTCATCTTTTTTACGTAGCATACCTATACTAATATGTAATAATAATTGTAGCTTCAAAATTGTGGTCCATGTCTGGACTACAGCACGGAGTCAACATACGAATGTCATTACAGAGGACCCTCTCATTGAAGACTTGTCGTCAAGCTTTGCGGTATGTGACGAAAAAAGTGGATTGAATTTTGTAAACGCTGCCCAGCCAAGTTCTGTCCCTGTACGAGCCTTCTTCGAAGTTATTGGTTACTTTTACCAAACTGCAAGGTTTTTCCCAAGTCAACGTATTCCTGAACAACCACTAGAGGCGACCCGTTTAGTATAATTGTCTCGTCTCCGGACGGACGTGGACATTGAACAATATTTTGTCTTTGTCTAAGTCCATGCGGAGTGTGCGGAATAATCAGACAGGTTGCTCAACATATACGAGGACGGTTTGATAAGTCCGTGACTTTTTGAATAAAACATTTTTTTTTGCGGCAAATAAACATTTTTTTTTCTACATAATCACCTTTTAGCTCAATACATTTAGTCCAGCGTTTTTCTAGTTTTGTTATTCCCTCCAAATATTAGTTTTCCTCAAGGCTCTCAAAATACGCATTTGTTTCGGTAATGACTTCTTCATTAGATTCCAATATCTTATCACCCAGTCATTTCTTTACGTTTGGAAACAGATAACAGTCGCAGCAATATGCTGGATGGGGTTGCTACCCCATCCAGCAGGAACTGCTGTTCCTATCTCAATTCGTGGATTTTGGCCATCGTCACTAAACAAGTGTGCACACGTGCATTGTCTTGATGAAACAGCACTTTCTTCTTCGCCCAATGCGGCCGTTTTAAAGCTTTGAATAATAATCGCCGGTAATTGTTTTACCTTTCTTGAGGTAATCAATGTGAATTGCGTGCATCCCAAAAACTGTAGCCATGACCTTATTGGCTGACAGGCTCTGTTTGGCCTTCTTTGGTCATCGTTCGCCCCGAGCAACCCACTGTTTCGATTGTTCCTTGGTCTCTGCCGTGTTGTGATAGATCCATCTTTCGTCCACAGCAACAAAACGACGCTATCAATACGTCCGGATTACGGCTGAACATCGCTAAACACTCTTTTGAAGTTGTCACACGATTGCGTTTATGGTCGAGTGTGAGCAATCGCAGTACCCATCTCGCGGAGAGTTTTCTCATGTCCAAATATTCGTGTAAAATATGATGTACCCCTTTAGTTGAGATACCTACAGAAGATCATCCAATATCATTTCATAGATTTTATAGACGATTTCCGGCGTGATCACTTCTTTTGTCCGACCTGAACGTTCGGCGTCACTAGTGCTGGTAGGACCACAATGGAACTCTGTAAAGCAATTCTTTACCATTGAAATTGATGGTGTCTAGTCTCCGTAGTATTTATCAAGCTTTTCCTTAGTTCCGGTGATGTTTTATTACGTAAAAAGTAATGTTTAATGAACACGAGAAATTCACGTTTTTCCATTTTCGTAAAAGTTCACGAGGTTGTCGGCCTTTTCCAGTGCAGCGACTTCAACAATATATCCTCCTCCTATCTCAGTCCACGATGCAGCAGCACCAGTAGCAGTATAGAGTAGAGTATAGTATACTACTGATTTTATACTTGGACGGTCAGATTTGCTACATCATACAGGTCCCTCGGCACTTGGATGTAGGTACCGCCAACCGATTTGATGGACTTCAGAACAGACCAGATTTTATTTAAAGTCAAAGGCCTTCTCGTAGGCCGCCATGGCCAAACCTAGAGACAGATGTTTATGACAAAATCCATACTGTCGTTTAGGTTTTGCATACAGGAACGTATACTTAAATATTCCTATTTAAATAGTACGTCAGGCAAAACCATGGGTTATAGCTAGTTGCTCACAAATAAAACCTATACAATTTACGGCTTAAGGGTTAATATTGATTTAACAAATCTGGAGCAGCAAAATGTGTACAACTGTTTGGTGTAAGTAGGTGAATCTCTTTTTAATAGGTACCTTCCATTATAGTCCAATCATTTGATAGTTTTATCTGGAATGGTTGGTATGGACTAAATGTATCTAGATTTCTTATCAAATATAGGAACATTAATGTACATATATATGCAATTTAATCATTACCATCATCAATTTGTATAGTTATAACATCACTTATTACCTACTTTGTTTTCCTTACTAGACTCTTACTCTTCCTCTAATTGCTTATAATCTCTCATTTCCAATATGAGAGCGAAAATCATAACAGTCCATCGTAATCGATTTCTGCACTGTCCCCCCCTTCGCACTATTCTGTATCCAAGCTATTTTTTGTGGGACGCACTGCCCTCGGATATTAGAACGGTAACCAGTCGCTTAATTTATTAACGTTAGGTACTCCTATCCCTTGCCCTGGCACTACCTCTTAACCTACTCCTACCTCTACTCTACCTATAGCTCTACTCAATGAGTATTAGTAGTATGAGTAGTACATAAAGGGGTATGCCCTTTATGTACCTTCTCAGGTCTCAAGCATACTTTGTACCGAGATGCAGCTGAATTAGAACTGCTGTTAAGTGATTTAAAAGATTGATCCCTTTCCTGTAGGATTTCCCAGATAAAAAATATCCTGCGTCTTTCCTCGGGTGTCAAACTATGTCTGTACCACAAACAAATCAATTCCGTGGTTTAGAAGAAAAGAAATCCCTGGATTTTAACACCATTGTTCCCATTTCCACGAGATTTTCGGGACAAAAAATGTTATACAGGGTGTCCCTGAAGTCGACGACCAAATGGCACCAAATGATCGGCAGGTTTCCAACAGTTATCAGAAAAATATAGAAAAAAATCATAAATAGTTCATATAGCTTTTAAATACAATGACTTATGTGTTATCCAGGAAAAAGTGTTAAACATCAAATGTTCTTTAGTGAGTCTTCGGGTTTAAGTGATTTGGAAGATAGAGAATCACCGTTGTTCCTATTCCCGGAGAATTTACGGAATAAAAACTATCCTACATCCTGCCTCAAGTCTCAAACTACGTCTATACCTATTTTTATCAAAATTCATTCAGCCGTGTTCGCGTGATGCGCACGTAATAAACAGACAAAAATTCTAAAACTTTCCGAATGTGTTCCGTTATCAATTCAAACTATCCCCAAACGATTTTTATTTGAATGTCTTCTATGTACAGACTGTCGAACCTCTTAATGTATATAAACATGACACGGATTTCAAAATGACCTTCCCAGCTACTCAAAAACTGGAAAATCTATACATACACACGTTTACGTAGGTACGCAAATAATAATGTATTAATAAATTTAAAGAGAATAAAATAAGATACACGATATAGATACAGAAGGCTGTTTCTCTATTGTCCTTCTTTCTTGTAAAGGTAGTTTTCCTTGAAACGGTACGGCATCATAAATGGAGGTTTATGTCTCTGGGGCCGTAACCACCGAAAGCTTTGACCATAGTCCCCCTACTGGTCGGCTCCTATTATAATATCTATACAAGTACGTAAATACTACCTATATACAGATAAATGAAATTGGAGAGTCTGTGATATTGAAATATCCGCTTTTTTAATATGAATATACATACGATTCACACTTTAATTTCACAATTTGTATAGGTAATTTGGATATACATACCAAAATATCATTTCTACAATTTTTGTCTATCAGTCTGTCTGTTTGTACTGGCTAATCTCTGGAATACCAAGGAGTAATATAGGCTACTTATATATTGGAAAATTGGAAAAAAGTGTTGTTCTAAAATTCATATTCTACGCGGACGATGTCGCAGGCAACAACTACTTTTTAAAAGTATGTTTTCGTTTAGAATTTTAAAAGTAATTTTAGGGAATTCTAAATAAATATACGTATGTTATAATAACGAATATAACTTTTAGTGAGCTTCGTTTTATGCGCAAGCGGAATTTATTCGTCTGAACAGAATACAAGAAGGTGGACGGACAGAGAAGTTTATTCGTTTACAACTACGCATCGGCCACTTATCGCTCGGTGGAGAACAACAACGCCTAGACCAAAATGGGTTTATAGTTACTTCTTATTCGACGATGATTATCCTTTATTTGGCCCAAGGCCTTTCAGATTTTCCCATCCAGTAGCCCAAGCCTCTGAGATTCTATGGTCACAGATGATACCACTACTCAAAAATATGGTGATTGGAGCAAAGGACTTCAGCATAATTCGTGGCATAGATTATGTAAATAACCCGCCAAAGTATACGACGACGACTAAGAAATATGGAAGGTAATAAATTCACCAAGGACGTTGAAAAAAAGATGGACGTAGTGTCACTTAGATATGATGGAAGCACCAAAATGTCGGTGGGTTACATATGTGTGCGAGTGTAACCGGTTACATGGTTACCACGTTACCAGACTTAAGAAAATGAGAAACATCCTTCGTGTCAATGAGTGTATGGTCTGCATATATGTCCATTGTCCATAGTAACCAGGTCGTTGTTTCAAGATATTGTATCCGCCATTTTTTCTACGTCCTCGATATTCACCCCGAGTTTAATTCGTCACCAATTTATTAGTAGATATAGTTTTTAATTGAATTACAAAACTAACCTTAAAAACGAACTTTTATTTTATGTATGTGTCGCAGTAAGATAAATACCTAAAGCCGTAATATAGTTATATACCTTGCGATATAATTTCTTTTTTGTATGTAAGCACTGCAGTTGATGCTGGTCGGCAGGTGGACGTAGCTTACCTAGACTTCAAAAAGGCATTTGATACAGTTGATCACGATGTCCTCCTTAGGATACTTGCTGGAATAGGCTTTACAATACACACTCTTAAATTCTTTTCCACATACTTCAGAGACAAGCGTCAATACGTGGACTGTGGCGGACACAATTCTGAGCCGTATTACACGAGGTCCGGGGTGAGCCAGGGCGGTAACTTGGGTCCTTTACTGTTTAATTTAATGATAAATGACATACCGTGCATAATAAAAGGGTCGATATGCCTACCTACTTTTTGCCGATGACCTAAAACTTATATACGAAATAAGGCATAACGAGGACCATGTTAGTTTGCAACACGATATTGACAGAGTGGAGCCGGGAATTCAAGTTGTATTTCAACGTGGCTAAATCCTTAGTCCTGTCATTCACTCGTGCAAGCAGTCCCTGTCACCACGGATACTGCATGGAAGGTGAACTGTTGCAACGCGTTACGGATGTGAAAGATTTAGGAGTTCATTTTGTATCAGAGTTACACAACACATTATGGATGTCTGCAAGAAGGCATACCGCAATCTAGGTTTTATTTTACGTCAGGCAAACGAGTTTATAACAACGTAGCTTTAAGGGCGCTGTACGAAGCTATAGTTAAAAGTCACTTGGAGTGTAACTCTGGTATTTGGAGTCCACACGAGGACAAATATAAGTTCATGATAGAACGTATCCAAAATAAGTTTGCCACATTCGTGTATTAAAAATCGTACGGTATATACCCTGGATACCCAATGGCCAATACCATATCCAACGTTGTTTGTACTGGGTATGGTAGGATACTACAAACTGGAGGTGAGGCGTGAAGTAGCTCTAGCTACTTATTTATTTAAGGTGTTGCGAGGTATAACGCACCACCCTGCCCTACTGGAGGAATTACGGCTATGTGTTCCGGACGAGCACGTGCGGCGTAGGCGGCGGCCGCGGCTGCTGGTGGTACCGTGCGCACGCACGAACCTCTTGCAGAAGGCGCCAATGACAGACACGAGCGTTGTGCATATTGAATGCAATAGCGGCCAGTACGGATATATTCTCGTGCACACTAAACGAGTTCACAAGGGTAGCATACACAGAAATATTACTTTAATATATCTGTGGGCTGTTGTGAATAAAAACTAAGTTCCTAGGATTTGCACTTTATTTAATTCTATTTATATAATTTATGTTGTTAGTACCTACCTACCTACATAGATTTTAAAAATATAAGTATTTGTTATTACTAAAGTTATTTACGTTTATTAAGGATAGTTTTGTGTAAATAACACATAACATCACGCTTTTTATCCCCGAAAGGGTAGGCATAGGTGCACATCATGCCACTGTACAATGTAACACCCACTTTTCACTATTTATGTTATGAGTCCCATGTAAGTTTGTGTAAATGTATTAGCCTGTAAGTTTAATTAATGTTACATGTGCTTATGATCTTTTGTTTTTTTTCTTTATCTTAATTCTTTTACGGTTAATATGGGATTATGTGTGTAACTGCATTTATTGTATTAGGTGTGCCTGTGATGATAAATGTAATGTTTAAATATAAATAAATATTTAGAATTAGAATTACGAACTTAGAATAATTATACATAGTCCATGGCTACCGACAAGGAGAAATACAAGAAGCTGACGGCCGACCTTCAACATTGAAGAGGCACTATAAGAAGAAGAAGAAGAAGAACACTACACATACTACTGTTTTTTTTTCTTTGGCAACCGAGTCTCCAATACGATGTTGTCGACTATACTGCCAGTGTCGAGTGGTGACGGCAGATTGGGGCACCGTCGAGTTTTAACTTTGCGGTAGTTTTTAGTTATTAGTAGCTGAAAAGGACGAAAACAATTGGGTTAGTAAACATATATCGTCAATAGACCTAAAATTATAATAATATTAACTAACACAATAGATAATTAGATAAGTACCTACTTGGAAAACAATTATCAACACACACAATATTTACATGATTACACACCGTTATATTTTAATATTATTTTCTTTCATAAATTTGGATAAACACTTAATTAATTTGAGAGAAGAATTAGTTAGGAGGGAGTGGAAGTTGATTGGAAGAGGGACTTGTTTCAACGTAACTCGACTTTTTTAATAAACTGTAGTTCAAATTTAGAACAGTGGCACTCTAAATGTTGATTAAACCAGCTCCAAAACTGCATCAAAACATTTTCCTTCTATATAGATTTTTTACAAGTTACAGTACCTACTCCAAACCAAAAAAATCAAGGTGGCTCGATATAAGTGTCCGGAAGTGTATTTTCATGAGGTCAGAATCTCATGATGATGGAATGAAACCGAGGGGAACTTTAAAAAAGTGTAGCGGCGAGTAATGCGTCTGTTATGTTTTTCAATACCGATTTTTATCAAATACAATTTGATAAGGGTCTGGAATCAACCTGTTGTTGGAGCCGACAGACAGTCGAGAGAACTCTTCAACGGTTTATATTAACTACTTACCTTGTGTTTGGGCTTGTATAATTTGTATCGATTAGAACTTTGCACCTATGTAGATTATAAGTGCCAAAACGGTTCTATGTAGCTTTCCACTGAACATGATAAAATAATAAAATAAAAACTGCGTTTAAAAAACCGACTTCAAAAAAACAAAAACTAATAACAAACAAAAAGCAAAGAATAACTATTATTGGTACTGATAGGTTACCCAGGTTAGAACTCGGTGCTATAAGCTCGTTAGGTATATCATAATGATATACCTAACTGAATGGTTTTAATGAATTATTTTGAATAGTACCTACCTACTGTAAGTTAGACACAAATTACACATCACTGCCTCATTGGCCGAGTAGTCACAAGTGCGACTTCCGGGCAAGGGGTCTCGGGTTCGATTCCCGGTTTGGGCAAAGCATTACTGGGTTTGTAAAAACCTCAGTAGTAGCACGAAGTCTGGAAATGTGCCCGGTATATGGCAATAGGCTCACCCCCTATTACATGGGAGTCATAACATAAATAGTGAAAAGTGGGTGTTACATTGTACCTACAGTGGCATTAAGTGCCGTAATGTGCACCTCTACCTACCCCTTTGGGGATAAAAGGCGTGATGTTATGTTGTGTTATATGTTATTTAAGGACAACATTTTTCACATTTTCTGATACGTTATCTTCTACCTATAGTTTATAGTTTTGGTTGGTATATAGTTGGTATATAGTTTTGGTTTATTAAATATATTTCAAATTAAAGATCTCTCGGTTGGGTCGATCAATAAAGGTAAAACAAGATTTGCATTTTATCTTGAACCAGTAAGATTTCAATCACGATGTCTGTTTCACAAATTTTCCCAGAAGCGTAATTTGCAATAAACATATTATGTTAATTATTCACAATTTTTCAATATAAATTCGTGTTTACAAGATCACTCAAATGAAAACTGTCCACTCTGAGTGATCCATTTTAATACCTAAGTGAAACCGAAAAATATCTTGAATTGATGACATACGCAACTGCGGCGGATAGAAACACTAAAACCATAGTCTACTGCCATCTAGTGACAAGTAGCAGTACTACTACACTACTCAGCATGCCACCATTGATTGATCATAAGTAAAACGGAATAATTGCAAGAGGTTGCCGCCCCGTAACAACAAGTGGTGCTACTAAAAAATCTTTTGAAAATATACATAATTCTATTATTTTTTGTTTTTCATTGCTAAAGAATGGATGACAATATAACTATTCGAAACTATCGTAGAACTAGCTCACTGAATGATATATCGGCAGACAATTGTACGTTGTTTGACACAACTATTTTAACAAACTGTCTCAGAACTACACGAAAAGCTACAGATGTCAAATAACATTGAAAGTGCCCATGCTGAGATAGATAACCTGAATGCTGAGAACATGATGACACCGTTTACGGAACAAAAACAAATTACTACAATCAACAAAGAACTGAAGATACAAGCTTGGCAACAGAAATCGCTCCATGGCCGACATCATCTCGATTTAACCAATCCTATCGTTGACAAGATGGCATCAAACGCGTGGTTAAATCGAGGCGAGCTGTTCCCCGAAACAGAAGGTTTCATGTTAGCCATTCAAGATCAAGTGATTTTTTCATTGAAGTGATCAATTCTTTACGACAGGGTAAAGAACCCACCTGCTCCATAAATCTAGAAGTACCACGGAACCCAAAAACTATCGGTCGATTACGTGCCTACCGACAATATACAAACTTCTTACATCCATTTTGAGTGCAAAACTTAATAAACTCATTGAAGACAATAATTTCATGTCTGCCACTGAACTGGATGTAGGAATGGGCAGACATGAAATGGATGTAGGAATGGATCCCGTGGTACTAAAGAGCTGCTCCTCATTGACATGTCCATTGGCCAACAGGTCCGTAGATCTCACAAGAATTTGTCCACATGCTGGATAGATTATAAGAAGGCCTATGACTCTACGTAACTTCCTGATGTCATGTATGAGATATTGGATGGAGAACGGTTCTTCGCTATCCAGGATATGGACAGATCTGTGGAAACGATGAACCCATTAGGATTGAGCGTAACCCGTTAGGTTTTCCGCGACTCCGAATCGACATCAGCCATCAGCCATCATCAGCCCATCCGTGGTAGTCTGATTGCTCTTAGATGCGCGCGTAACGCGACTTTGGAATCGCACATAGGCAATTTCGTCTTGGGCACCCATCGATATGTTGTATGTATAAATAAATGCAAAATCACATCGCCAATAATCTGGGAAAAGTGTAAAATATTCCACTCTATATATTATACTAGCAGCCCGTCCCGGCTTCGCACGGGGTAGACAATTATTTATTTTTGGAAATTTAGATTGTTGTAGTGACATAACTACAATAGTTGGACATATGCTACCGCGGAGTTTTTTGTAGACGTATGATATTCTTCAATATTGTTGTACATTATTTTGTTCTATCGCTAATAGTTTCGGCAGCGCATTCGACGAAAGACATTTTAAGACTCATTTTTCTACATCTTTGGTTACATTGTTCAAATTTTACCAAGGATCCCTACTATTTTTCAAAATGAAATGTAGCCTATGTCAAATTGGAAGAATGTAGCATTCTATTGGTGAAAGAATTTTTTTAATCGGCCCAGTACTTTTTGAGCCTATTCATTACAAACATACAAAACTTAGGTACAAATCTTTCCTCTTTATAATATTGGTATAGATAGATCAATGGAAGTATATCTCATCTATACATTTACTTATATCGATGCTTAGAGACAATACAAGTGCCCATGACAAAAGCCTAGAAGAAGCTGGTGCTGTCAGTACCTGTCACTTTTTTCATAATACAATTAGGTACCTACATAAATTTGCATGTGTGTTAAAAATAGTTTTCGTATTGCCTTGAATTGCGATTGATGTGGTTTGTACAAAAGAATATTATTGATACATCATTAAAAAGTTTTTTATGGTTTTTAATTTTAAAGTTACTTATATGAATTTAAAACAAAATCTAATTCATTTACCAATCCATCTGTTTAGTACTTACCTACCTAATAATTATGAAAGTCTAAGTTTAGATAATGCTATATATAAATATTAAATCATTATTTTCTAAAATAGTTTGAATTCACTTAAATAAAATAAAAGTTGTGCACTCCAACTTCTATGAACCCCTTTTTTCAAATGCAGAAGTGAATGGACTAGTCTTTAATAAGCTTTACATCTAGCCTATTAAAGGCTTTACGTAAACATAATTAAAACACATAGTTCACAAATATAAAATTTATCCAGTACTGGCATACAATTGAAAATATAATATCAATGTTTACATCTGTTAAACTTGTCGATTAATGCTTGGGGCACTTTGTCTTCCTCAGATAACCCTTGCCAGATGGCACAGGCACTACAGTCACACCTTGAGGGAACACTTTTGCTATCTGATCTTCTGGGACAGTAGGCAACACCATGCAGTCCTCACCCATCTGCAAACCATGTACAAAAAATTACTAAACGATCGTTTTCATGCTTATGCTCGCCACTAGGTGAGGTAGGACGGACTTAACCGTATAGTCCTTGGGCTCGCTGCCATTGCAGCGGTAAGACCCCTCTTTGAAGAGTGGCTTGAGAGACGCTACGGCGCCCTCACCTACCGCCTGAAGCAGGTCCTCACCGGACATGGAAGTTTCGGGAGGTACCTGTGTCTGATGGGGCGGGAGGAAACGCCCGGGTGTCATCACTGCGAGGACCGCCTTGAGGACACGGTGGAACACACCGTAGCGGAATGCCCTGCGTGGGCTGAGCACCGCCGTGCCCTCAGGGAAGTGATCGGCGATGGCGACCTCTCGCGTCCGGGCCTAGTGCAGGCCATGATGCGGAGCGAGGGGGACTGGGATGCCGTCTCCTCCTTTTGCGAAGCAGTCATGCTAGCTAAGGAGGAGGCGGGACGCGTGAGGCAGCGAAGCGCTGCCTCCTCGCAACCCAGCCGTCGCGAAGGACACACCGGGCGTCGGGGATCGCGGGACGATCTCCGGCCACCGTAAGCGCGGGACTGCGGACGGCGAGCATGGGTGGCTCCCCGTCCGACCAGAAACAGACCCGAGCGTACGGCGCGTCGCGTTCCGCGCGCGCCTCAAAGAGCCATCAGACCACCACAGATGCATAGGCATATTATCCAATGACTTCTCCCACCTTCGAGGAGGCGTGAGGGAGTGTCAATCTTTTACTGACACCACCCTGTTCCTACTCTTGCTTCTCAGCACCCGTTAAGTCTTTCGCGGCTCCGTATTGGGCATCAACCCTACTGGGCCCCATCTGTGGTGGTCTGATGGCTCAGCCCACGCGGGGCACACCACCACTGTAAGCTCTACCGTGTCCATCGTTCTATACTTAACGAAATACGTAAATGTCCTCTCTTGAACCAAGTTATGAACTCGTACTGCGAACTACTTGTAAACGGAAACTTTTTACGTTGACCCGTAAACGTTAAGCGTCTTGTCATTGTGAATATCAAAGGGTACCGTAACATTGGATATTTCGATATCGTAAAATTTTTGGCCGCTTACTATCATAATTTCTATAAACCTTCCATTTAATAAAATAAAAAGAATACCTTCCAGTCCACAGGTGTAGCAACTTTAGCGATGTCCGTCAGCTGCAAGGAATCCAGGACACGCAGGATCTCACTGAAATGAAAAGGCTGGTTAAAAAATTAACGTAGTTTATTGTAAAAACTAGTACTTATAAAAACAAGTTGCGAAGGGTTTCAAAATACCACATCACTCAATAACTCACTGGCTTTTTATTTCTGAGTTTATAAATAACTACCTAGCTACATACATCCGCGCGTTTCACTCGCTCTGCTCAGCTCCTAATAATCGCAACGCGATGTTTTATAGCCTACTAGCTTTTACCCGCGGCTTCGCACGCGTCACAAAAGAATAAAAAGTAGCCTATGTGACATATACCAATAAACACAGCGCCATATATACCAATACTTTTGTTTTTCCTCGGGAATAACCCTATTATTTAATCCGGACTTCGAACTTTACGTCTGCAAAAATTCAAAGCAATCGGTTGAGTAGTTACGGCGTGAAGGTGGAACAAAGAAACAAACAAACTCACTTTCTAGCCTTCCTCGATTAATGGACTATCTAACACAATAGTTATTCAAATCGAACAAGTAGTTCCGGAGATAAAAGCGTTCAAAAAACAACAAATGTATGTATGTTTGTAGTTTGTTTGGCTCTGGCTTCGTATTAAATTATTAAACTGACCTAAATGTTAAGTAATAAGATTCCTGTTTGCATTCTGTTGTTTTCTGAATTAATATGACTACCACCAGTGACACAATATCCTATTGTTAGAGTTAGGTCTATAGATTGCCCGGTCTTATGTTATCACCACATTTCGATAATATTTATCTTTAAAGACGTTTGTATTATTGGACAATGGTTTATCGCATTATCAACCAAAGAACGAAGCGTATTGACAAAATGACTTCACAACAAGTTTAAACACAGAGTTGAAAAAGTGACAACACTTGATTAAATATTGTTAAGGTCTTATATCCGCTTAGTCATTATTCGCATATGCATGAGGAAATTGATCCTGTATTATAATATTTTCTTGGTATGCCTAATAATGGGTCTTAAAATTGGTAGTCAAAAAGAAAAGGAAAAACTACTTAGATACATGGGTATGATATGCACTTACTCAAAATTTCGGCCAGTAGTCGCTGGATAAAGGAACGAAAGCCGGAACTTTTTGAGAGGGTCGATAATGAAGGCAGCACGTGCAGTGAGTGGCATTCCCGCAGTATCTAGTTCATCCTTATCCACCATGCAGAGCATTTTTGCGATCTCTCTGTTTTTATCCTCGATAATAGGATACGGAAACTTCTCATCTTCATTGCATCCTATAAATTGTTATTAAAAAAATATATAATCATGTACATACACATGTAATAACTTGCTCAAAACAACCAAAATGTTATTTATTAAAAAAACTAATCAGGGAATAGTAGTATAAAATTATCATGCTAAGGGAAAAAAGTAGCATAGCTTTGAAAATATCAAACGGTATATTATTATTATTCCACATATTTATAATAATCATACTACTATCCAATGTGGGTGTCAAGTTGTCTAAATGGCCTCTGTGCAGTTGGCTTCGGCCACCCCCCGAATGACCAGGACCCTGTGGTCCCGTGAATGAAACTACTATTAGGTATTATAAAAAAATAGTATTTACAAATATAGTTAAAATAGGGATGGACCAGTAGCGGGAGCATGGTACAAAGTATCGGTGGTTATGGCTACAGAGCGAGTTACCTCCTCACAATATATAAAAGTTAAATAATTAATAAATAATACAATTATCTATAGCCGAGTCCACTTGTCAAATGTCGACAAGTCATGAATCAAGATATTTTATTTGTAAATCTCAACAATTCACAGTTTCACACTCATCCATCCTGCATTTTATATTTGTCATAACCATAATACAAGTTTTGACATAAAAGTCAAATATGATTGTATGTATGTATAGGATCAAGTTAATGAAATGATTAAACATTAAGTTTGTCCTTACTCAATACATGACCACATACTTAGCCACAAATTTCAATGATTCCTGCAATATAATATATCTACAGTTTATGGCACATTTCGTTTGCACTGGGCCCATGTTTGTTCTGAGCATAGTTCTTTTGCATAATAGTACAGAAAATTATATAACTAGGCTGAATAAAAACCAGTAGACCATTAAAATCTATAAATAATAATAAAGCAACATTTACATTAATTGTGTAGTTTAACTCGTCGAGTACCGGTTTTATAGACACAATTAAAGAACAATAGGTCGCGGTCACCGGTGACCGCTTGGTGTTTGACGGATTAAATTAGGTTACAAGATCTTCTTGATACTGTAACTAGCTACTTCCATGGTTTCATGGTTTACTTTTCGCTTTGCTTGGCGCCTAATGATCATAGGGTAATGTTTTATTTTATAACTTATAGCCTTCCTAGATAAATAGACTTTGCGACACAAATAAAATTATTCAAATTGTACCAATAGTTCTGGAGATTAATTAGTTCAAACAAACAAACTCTTCAGCTCTATACAATAAGTACTAGTCACTTCGCCGTTTTACCCGGTCTGCTCGGCTCCTATTGATTGTAGAAAGAGAATTATTCAAATCGGTCCAGTAATTCTGGAGATAAGCGCATTCAAACAAACTCCTCAGCTTAATATAATAGTATTAGAAGTATCAGATAAGATATAAGATATGATTATATTACCAGCATATGCTTGAATGTCTTTGCACCAATCTTCATGAGACTGGATACTGTCACAAGACAATCCAATCACTTTGGTATTGCGTTTCTTGAACTCTGGCATGAGAGTTAAAACGCGAGCCAGTTCCGTAGTACATACTGGAGTGAAGTCTGATGGGTGAGAGAAAAGGATACCCCATCTGCAATTATTTGATGCAAAGTTCATGTAAAGTAAACTGCAAAGTGCAAATTCAGAGTAAAGTGTAAAATATGACAAGAGTCAGTAAAAATATTTTTATAATTAAAAAAAAAACAATAATTATATAAAATTCCAAAGTCAAAGCAGGTCATTATAATTCAGCTTAGATTACACTGCAATAAAAGGAATGAATAGGTACACATACATGTTGCAATTTCCTAGCAACTACAAGAGTAAGATTGACAGTGCGACGGGATGCTATTGCAATTTATAAATCCTGATTGTGACTTCCTGTTGTTCAATTGAATTGGCCTAGAATGTTTCAGGCCTGGTTTTTAAATTTCTCATAATCAACCGTTTGACCTCCCAAGGATGCAACACAGAAATTCATGTTATCGTTTAGGGATAGGTAGCGGCATAAATAAACAATTGATAACACTAATTATAATTATGTTGTGTTTCAGACGGAAACGAAAATATAGTTGCCAACGCAGACAAACTGCAGATGGTAGGTACAACAATCAGGGGAAAATTACAAGATATCAAAAGCACTTACGAGTCTCCAAGATATTTATGAAAATCTATCTGGCCGGCGGTCGTATTAGCGGTGAAATTAGGAAAAAAATCGCCTAACAGTAGCATTTTAAGGTTAGATGAATATTATTCGATGAATTATTTTAAAATCCTCACGGCAAATACTTCCACTTTTTTAAATTTTCGCTTAATTATTCTAACAAAACAACCAGTCAATGAGAATTTATAATATTATTTTGACAAACGAAAATTAATTCTGAATTTGAAGATAATTTTATTTCCCGCCAATAAACCCACAACAAGTAACAGCCAGTGTTCTATGTTAACTGGTGCACAGATTAAATATCATGGACAGTTATTCATTACGATTGTTTTTGTTTGCGTTTCATATTACTAACAACGGGAGGTATGCATTACTTTTTTACTCGACTAACGAACTGGTATATAAATTCTATAACTTTAATAATAGCTTACTATTTTTTTAATTGGTATTATATGTTTGTTAATTTCATCATCAATAAAGCTAAATTACATCTACTGTACTAATTACCTCATACCCAAAATGAGAATATATTATAATCGACTAAATCAAACTCTTTAGTAAGTTCTTACCGCATCGGCCACTGGACTAACTGACCACAGACCAACACTGGTGCATCACTATTCATCCAATCAATGGCGTCACCGTCAATGACCCAGCCCGCAACGTACAGTTTGTAGTTTTCGACACATTTGTATCGAGATACAATTGATTTTTTTAATCTGAAATTGTTACTTCTACATACGGTAAGTAAACAATTTACTTAAAAGTATTTATATATTGTTATTATCGTGATGATTAGTTTCTTGTGATGGACTCTACACAAAATGGACGTCAAAGGTATTGTGACGTGATTATGTAAAAATACTTATCAATATTGAATAAATAGGCGCCGGTATGTAGACTAATTAATTCATGTTAATTCTGATTAATACTGGTGTATATGCGATCATTACGAGCAACTGTTTGTATATATTTATTTAGAACAACAGTCGTGACGGATATGAGCAGGAAGGCATGTCAATGAGTGGCGGCGCATAGGCAACCACCTATACCTATCATGCGATATCGATGCATCAAGAGAGATGTCTTTGTTTTGGGCATCCAGAAAAACACCACACTTTATTTACATGACCCCGTAAGAGGTCATTGCTCTGCATCGTGCGTGTGGATTGTAGGTCTATTTGTCATACTAAATGCTTGTATTTTATTTGCCTTGCGAGTTATTCACCTACATTCAACACACCTACTCCTATTAGTCAGATGTTAAATTGTCGTGTGGAATTTTCGGTTAACATAATGTTTAGAAATGTTGTGATTGTTTTTGTTTATATTATGATATTTAGAAAGAATGAATAGTTTTCTCCTTACTTAATTCCTTAAATGACGAATATTATTAGCCAAACATATTTCCATATTGCAATATCTAGGTGATACTGCATCCCAAGTAATGAAAATTGGTCAATAATTGTTATTGGTTAAACAATGACTATTGATAATGTACCTAACCTAATCTATTACTACATACTGTTATGAAGTGAAATAATTCTTGCCATACCACTAACAATTTACTGCTACAGCGAATGTGCCTTTTATGTACCACCACAGCCATGTGAGCGAACTGTGATTGAATAAAATAGTGTCAACGCTAGAACAAAAGAGATGTAATCATGAATTCATAGCTGGTATAAGTACTTGTGCTATCTTGTTTTGAAGAAATCTAAAACAGGAAGTTTATAAAACTATCTATGTAATTCTGATGCATATAGGTACCATATTTACTAACAAAAACTTAGTCTCCTGGAAGATATCATAAAAAGATAATTTAATCTATCTATATATTATGAATAGTGGAATAAAATGAATAGCGGTTCATTAGTCTTTATGAAACTCGAAAATGGCTGGACTGATTAGGCTAATTTTAGTCTTCAATTGATCAGGGAAGGTTTAAATAGCGAGAAAAAATTGTTTGAAGCAGTACAGTACAAATTACTTATCAATATATAATCAATTATTCTTTGGAAACCAAGGTAATTAGAGACACTTTTAGACAAAATGTGTCAAGCTTTCAAATTTTATTGTTTATGTATTAAAATTACTTATTATGTTATCATAGCTATGCTCATCTTATCAATTGAGTATTTTTGTAGTGGAAATAATTTGTGTGAAGTAAAGTTCAGTGAAGCTATTTCTTGATTACTGCATTCCTTATTTGATAATTAATTGAATTTAAAGTCATTCTGGAAATACTACAAGATGTAATAAACAGATTATTTTTGTTTAACAGAATTATTGTGTAGGCCAGGTTAGTTTATGGCTGCAGTTTCTTTTTCTACTAAATCAAGTTTTATTTTTGATTTAACATGAAAATATATTCTGTGATGTCCTTATTTCTTTTATGCAATTTATTTAATTTACATCAAAGTTCTAAAATAGCAGCATTTTATAATTAAGTATTTAATTGACAATATTATATACACAACTATTTAAATATGTACTACTCCTAATCTAAATCTAACCTTGCCCAATATTTAACATTATTGTTTCAAAATGCATAATCTAGTTACTACATTTTATCAGAGATTATTTGCAAACAATGCCATGACTCATGTTTTTAATATTTGTATTGATCTTATAGACATAATGATTCTTGTCCACTTTTTCAAATAAAAGGCTATTGTTCAGTTTTGGATACTCAACACTCTTTGGTGATCTATAGAAAAATGTGCTAGTAGACTGTTTTTTCTTGAAGAAATGTGAGGAATGTCATTCTAAATAAGTCATCTCATATATTATTGGTGATGATGTCATCATCTCTTCCCATCAGCTGTTTCTATACTTATGCTATGGTATTTTCTAAATAGTTATTGCCATCCCAAGTTCAAATTAACAGTAAATGTTATGTTATGTCTAGTTTTAGTTACATTTAAAACAAATTACCTATGCTAAATAAAGAAGTTTTATATAATTTGTTTTGAATTGTGCTATTGCATATTTAACCTATGCTCCTTATGTATTTAGTCCAAACAATCAAAACATCAGATTACAGTTGATACCCAGTATAACACCACTTTTGTTTTGTTGCAGATCTATTCTTGAAGGCTGCTATGATCAAAGAATTACATCTGTGTGGGAGTAAGAGCAAATAAAGTTTTAACCACAGATATCAGTTGACTATTACCAATCATTAGCCGACATGCAGACAATTAAGTGTGTAGTAGTGGGAGATGGTGCTGTTGGTAAAACATGCCTACTTATTAGCTACACAACCAATAAGTTCCCATCTGAGTATGTGCCCACTGTGTTTGATAACTATGCTGTCACTGTCATGATAGGAGGAGAGCCATACACATTGGGTCTCTTTGATACTGCAGGTAAATAAATCACATATTTGCTCACACATTACTTAATTTTCAGTTATATATTTCTTCCAGCTGTACTTGTACTTAGTAATAAGATTGCTGATTATTTTTTTTACAGGCCAGGAAGACTATGACAGGCTGCGGCCATTAAGTTATCCACAGACTGATGTTTTCCTCGTTTGCTTCAGTGTAGTAAGCCCCAGTTCATTTGAAAACGTCAAGGAAAAAGTAAGTTTTATACATAGCTAGACACATACCAACATTATCTATAATAATATTATTAAGAGGTATTTACCCCTTATACAGGGTAACTTGTAATTGTAACTCCACATATTCCTCTTGGGAGGTGATAATACAACTAATAATACCTATAAAAGGGGCATTTTGACAAAGACTAAAAATGTTGAATATCTCAGAAATCTAGTCAGAAGCTAGTTTCTGATTATTAGATACCTCAGGGCTAATTTTGTAGGAAATTGGTTGTATTATTGCCTCTCGAGAGAAATATGTTGAGTTACAAGTCTCCTGTATACATCAGGGGTAAGCTCCGGAAGTAATGAACCAATTTTAAAATTAGTTTCAATGGTAGAAAGCTACAATATTTGTGAGTGTTATAATATCACATATTTTAAAAATATTTTTATTTCATTCAATAGCAAAGAGACGATGAATATTTTATTTTCTATTGGCTTGGCTTAATAATTAGCTTATTATAATTCGTAAATGAGTCTAAAATTATATTTTATGTAATTTGTTTCCAGTGGGTACCAGAAATCACTCATCATCAACAAAAGACACCTTTTCTCCTTGTGGGCACTCAGATAGACTTGCGAGATGACGCAGCCACGATGGAGAAGCTGGCTAAGATAAAACAGAAGCCTGTCTCTTTGGAACAAGGTGAAAAACTAGCTAAGGAACTCAAGGCTGTCAAATACGTTGAGTGTTCAGCTCTCACACAGGTATTTATAAAATTTTGTAGCTATGTATTAAAATCATGAGAATGATTTAACCTGTTGAAATCATCCCCTAAATTTGGTCATACAAAAGTAGTCTCTAAACAAAATAAGGTCTATAATGTAATTCATGGAGAGCGGTCACCGGTGACCGCTTGGGGATATATGGGTTAATTGTATTATAATCTCTTCAAAATGTGCTTTTGCAGTGCAAAATACAACACGCTTAATTAATCTAAGTTTTTCATTTGTTACATACATGTGTTTACATGATATTATGACATCATTGTCAATCCTTTTTAGACAAAGTTAGTAAGACACTTTGTTTAAATATAAATTGAGACGTTTTCCTGTTTATAATGACTTCGCAATTGATGTCAAATACTGTCATGGTAATAGTTTTTTAAACAAAACAGTTTTGGTTTGATGTTTGAAGGAAGGTAAATATTACTGAAAACAGTATTTCAACAGTTTCATGTATCTTAAAAACAGTTGCAGTGTTGTCAAACTTTTCACTTCTTACACGATGATATTAAACAGTAATAATATTTTTAAGTGCGGTAATAAAAAGGTAAACAAAAATGTGTATTTTCTGTTTTCAGAAAGGATTGAAGAACGTGTTCGACGAGGCCATATTAGCAGCACTGGAGCCTCCAGAACCCGCCAGGAAAAAGAAATGTGTGCTGTTGTAAGGTGTTTTGGGCTCGTCACAACTTCGCCCCACCAGCAAGACGCGAGCGCCACGAGCGCAATGCGACTGTGTCCTCATAACGCGTACATTTTACTATTTTACCATATAACATTATTCATAACAAAATGGTTTTTGAACAAGTAATAATTAACTTTTATTTATGATGATATAATGATTATTTATAAGTATTTCCGGAATATATTCATATTTTAGTGGATTACATAAATTAAATTAAATTATAACATTTAATAAAATTTGAATACAAAAAATGAAATGTATCAAAAAAATATGTCTGTTTCTCAGGTTCACAAAAAATGTTTTCTGGGTTTTTTAATGAATGAATGACATAAACATTATTCGCAAAGTAAAAGATAAAGTATATTGCAATTACTTTGCTTGTAGGTTGCATAAGCTACGCTCACTCTCTACGATAGAGCTAGTGTGTGCGAGAAAAACCTATCATAGAACTTGGCCTTAGCAGATATAATTTAGCAAATAAATGTCATATTAATCTTTTAGCATTTGTCATTGGGATCTATTATATTACCAGTATAAGTTATATATTATAATAATATTATTCTACAAGAGCTTGGTCTATAAATACTGAATAGTTTCAGATCATAGTGATCTGAAAACTAAAGCATAAGTACTATTTACGCCTACTATTCCTAACAATAAATAACACAAAACACGACGTGTCTTTGTCGTAACTATTTTGTATTTACGGCGCCTGACACCATAATATAAGGCTATAGTTAATTATTTTCCCTGGTTGATGGGAATGTCATCCGTCGCTAATAAAGTAGTTTAATAATTTCGAAAACTTCAATGGGTCCTCTTATCTGGACTACAGTATTTTTCTATTTATGTTGACCACCCTATATTTGACTGATATAAAGAAATTGTACTCTTAACAATAACTGTATTTGTAGCTTAACATAATGATATAGATCACATAATAACGAAATTTTCTATGCTGGCTATGTAAAGCCAGAATCAATGAAGCAACTTCATGCACAATATTTTGCTAAGCACAGTGCGTCTATGTATTTTTATAAGTATTACTGGGTAACATACTAATGTCTATTCTATTTTAATAAATGTAAGTGCCGTCACATTAGATGGCTTTCAAAATTTGTGTTTTATAATATTTTGATGTGTTCTTTAGAAAGTATTTATAGTCTTACCATTACGTTCGATATAAAACACTTAGAACTGCAATAACCACCAAGCTATTATGTAATTTATTAACATTTAATTATTAAAAAATACGACAGGAAACTTAACTGTTTGTGATTTTAAACGATTAATAAATTGAAATGTGTGTGATGCTATACAGAGTATAAATAATATAATTATTTTAAATTGAGTCATGCAATATGAGTTTGGACTGATAATTACATAAATTCATCATTCCATGAAATATTTATTGCATTTATTCAACACGAATTAAATTGGAGATAAACAAAAATAAGCTGGAATGAAAATGATGACATGTAGTAATATATAATGACTTTGCGCCTAATATATTATCTCACGACTCACATCAAGGGGTGCGTATAACTTTTCTATTCTGTTAGTTAAAGTTACATCGGTAACAATGAGCACAATGTATCGCGGTTGCCGGCAACTACATGCGTCGCAATCGCTCATACTGATTATACGAGATGCTTTGGCACCGAACGTAATACAAGTAAATTGCAAGTTCTCTCAAGCAATGTTTGTGTGATTCTCGCGCTTGATAATAATTATAATTTTAATTTGCAATGATTGAAAATTTATATAATGGGTGCAATTTAAGATTTTATAATAATTATAAACATCGTAACTGACTCGGGGCTAATTATATCAACTACAGTTATATACATGTACTCAACATTATAACTACATTTTTATGTATATATAAGCTACTGTATACTTTTTTACGCATTAAAAAAGGTAACAAGTATTCTGATTTTAATATTTATTTAACGTTCATTGTAATATGCAAGAACGACAATTTTTGTATGTTTATGCATTATCAGTGCAGTTACATTATGTTCTTTGTGTCAAGAAGTAGATATAGGTGTATATGGAATAAATATATAATGAGATTAAATTATACTTTTTATTTTATTTACTACTTTGCCTTTTTTAAATGTTTTCCTGTTCTTGGTGGAATTTGTTAGTTACTTTAAATATCGGTACTTAAAATTATGGAACTTTTAATTTCGGTTTCCCGTTTAAAGACATGTGCACTCGTAGTTTTGTAATGCTGTAGTCATGTAATTTGATTTAAAAAATATTATTATCCCTTCTTAATCGTCTTCATCACTGAAGGCCGTGTCTAATCTGGTGCACGCGTCACTGCACTTGGTGTAGTACCCTACTCCACTTATTATACTCTTAGCCTACTCCTAACGCCACTGTCTTATGCGGTCCTTATAGTTTGTGGAAGAGTCAGGCCGTTAAGTTTTTTATACAACATTTAGCCAACGGGTAGGTGAACGACCGCGAAGTCTTCCTTACCAACCACCACCAACTTGTCCAGTTTGTCGTGATTTCTGTGCTGAGGCATACAGGTGGACAGCCTCGACAGGACGAGTGAAGTTATACTATGGATAAAGCACCAAATCGGACGTAGGTAATTATGTCGACCCTTTATTCTGGTTCAAAAAGCTCACAAATAGTTTCATTTTGTCGTTTTTATTTTACTTACTCTAGATTGTAACCATGGCTACTAAAGCAAGGTGGATGCGTCTAGATTGACTATTTATCAATGCAATCTAATCGGACACTGGAGCATTTATTTTGTCACAACATTAGATATTTGTATAAATTTTCACGAACCACTATAGGGACACCAGCTGTACCTACGCCACAGACTCGGGACATTTTATTTTATAACTTGGTGGGCGTTTTACATTGCCTTATCATAATGTCCACTGACTGACTGATCAATTATCTTAATTAGTCCCGGGAATTATTCTTGCGGGGCTTCCGGGATAGAACAACCATACGTCCTTTCTCCAGTTCAAAACTTAATTAGGTTCATGTTTTTCACTCAAATAGTTTCAGTGGTTTAAGATATGGGAGCCCCATGATTTAAAACAGTTGGTTAAACCACTGAACCTATGTAATACTTGTACAATGTTACGTTAATTTCCACAGAGTAAGCAATGCCAATAATATAAGGAGTTCTTTTGGTAGCTTGTCACACATCACTAAATCACTGTGTCATAAACTTTCATTTCCTCATGAAATCTTCATGGACCTCGTGGGGACGACGGGACGTGTGCTGGACTCTTATCAGGTAAAACCACCGCGGTGTTCCTCTGACTGTGGCTGTGACCCAGGACGTCCTTGCGGATTTACTGCACCCGGCACGCCTCGACCTACCGCTATATTGTGGCAGGTCCCACCACATTGCAGCCCGTGGAGGCTGCGATTTTCTTCCTTGAGAGGTATGCGTGGAACACTATGCTAACGCCTACTCCCGCCCTTACAGCGGACGACTGACTCCCCTAGTCAGTCGCCGGCAAGCCTTTCTTATGGAGGTCGTAGATCGGCTACCACTTGACGGCCGGCGTCTGCAGCGGGAGGGGAGAGAGCTGAACGCCTCCCTCTCATGTCACAAACTTTCATAGTTTGGCACCGACGTACTCAAAATAAATAGGTACTATATTATGTTTTCAAGAACTAATATTAGTATTCAGCCCTGTGTAATTAGTATTTTTACACGACACACATGGAAAAACACTAATTTATTGTAAGTTAACTGAAAATATTTTATTCATGGATTTTTTTCTTCAGATTGCGGTCAACCTCTTTGCATACCTACCTTAATGTAAATATAAAGATAACAAAAAACAAATTGTCAATGTTCCATTGGCTCTGTAAACTTACTTGTCAATAAATGGCATATGCCACAGAAATCTATACTTACTTATTTTTATATAAAACATCTCTGTATGTTTTGTTTGTCCGTCTTTCATGACAGAACAAAGCTAGAAAATGACGTATTTTTTTTAATGGTAGTGGGTAGTTGAAAGGACTTTGAGTAACATGTCTATTTTTGTCTCTCTTACCCACGACTTACCTTTCAGGAAAAACTTTCTTTTTGTTTTTTCTTTGGTAAACCTGCCCCTAATCCTTCAGAAGAGAGCGACCGAAGCTAGTCCATGAATAAGATGTATTCAGTTCATTGAATTCATGATGCAACTCAATACTAATATTAGTTCTTGAAAACCCAATTTTCTATTGCCAGTTTTTTTACACATCGGGTTACATTATCGAAATTTTTACACGGTTCCCTTTTTTGTCTCATATAAATATAGTAGGCTATGTTCATCAGGGATACTTAATGTAGAATTACAACGGAAAATAATTTTTAAAATCGGTGCAGTTGTTTCGGAGTCTATACAATTCAAAAAATATCAAATTTTCTTCCTTATTATATAATATAGTGTAGATGTAGATTTCAGTGATCACAAAAATAAACGTTTTTTGCCACGTAAAGCATGCATTAAAAGGTTGGTTGGCAGAAACTTTAGAAAAACTAAAGTAATCATTGACCGGTAATTTAGGCAGAAGCCTTACCTGAAAATTTTCCGGTTTTATACACGAATAATTTGTGTCAAAACTATAAAAGAAAATTGTCTTGTGAGAAACATTTACCCAATTACCATGAGAGATTTCAAAAAAATATATAATTCGGGGCCAAGGCATGTTGGGCTTACGGATGTAAGAAATGGGGTACTACAAAGTAAAGTTGGGGTGAACCACTAGTTAACCAAAACTAATTATTGTTTTATTATGCAACAGTCATTATATCCTGCCAGTGTTTTAATCAATAATTACTCATCTGCACATGGATTTGAAGTAAAGCTGATGTTTCATTGTTCTAGGATTGATATTATTTTGACAACTTTGACGTAATGATTTTTTAGTGCTTTTACTAATATAACTCCCTTTTTATATTTATTAATCAGTCGTTCTGTTTATTTTAAAATAGCACAAAGCTTCCAAGTAGTGTGCTATGAAAATTTCAAGTTAATATGGGCGACGGTTTAAAGTTATCTAAAGGTTGGTCCGTATTATTTACTCCTAATGAGGCGACAAGAATTTGAATTAGCGAATATTAGACTTGGTGGTTTTATTGAATATTTTTTTAAAGACGCTGTTTCTTATTCCAAAAAGTCTTGGATTTAAATGCCAACGATATATTATATGACATTGGAATGCACAACAAATAGCGGAACATTTCAGAATGGGTGACACATTTAATGGCGTAACGCCTAAGTATACCTAATGATAACAATGCAAACGAAAGCATGTAGGTAAGTATAGTGTGGGTTAGTATGAGGATTGCCTGGTTTTTTCCTACAAGTTTTCACACCTAAGACTTACTATGGTAATTCCGTTGTTTGGTAAATTGAGGCACTGATTGCAGATAAGCGTCATAGGAGCTCCAGCAGTCTGGCTGGAGCCATGTTAGAGGGAACACGTTCCGAACGCAAACTGGACATGAAGGGTACGTTTATATATAAGTATATCTTAATACTAAGTGGGCATACCTACCCACCTTACCTATACCATCTTAGCCTTCAATGAAAGTATGGATATGGGTTTTTCAGAGTTTTTAAATTGAACACAACAAAAATGATAGAAACAGGTAAACAGCATTGGTGTTAAAGAACCCTTTATGTATAACTTTTATAATAATTTTTAATTTTGAAATAAAAACTGCCTTTCACATGGCGTAGGTACTATAGCAGGTGGCGTATTATGACGTCTTAAAGCCAGCGTAGTTCCGCAGACGGAACGAGATCTCGCTAGACGACTTGTATAGCTCTCTTTCTTTCCCTCAATGGAACTATTCTGACTTTAGGGCGTCATAATAACCCCGCAGGTATTTGTAAAAAAATGAAAAAATCGCTTGTGACTTTTGGTTCTCTGCTCCCATGTGGAATGTGCTACATATTTTAAAAAGGAACTGGTACAAAAAACAGTTATAAAATGAATGTGAAAAACCCATCTTATTTTCACTGAATGTCTTGGGGAAATTCTGAGGATTTCAGTAGATACCTACTCGTGTATAAAGAACCGAATTAATAAACGGTTGGTTTCAAGACAATACTAAATCAATAAACTCATAGTTGTTAATCAGCTTACAAAGTCTACTCTAGCTATAGATAGACAGATAATGTTATAGTAAACAATCGGTGTTCCTCAAGGACTCGCACCCGTAACATCAGAGGAGTAACAAGTACATTGCCGGTTTGTGTCTCCGGCAAATCTAATCGCACGCATTGTTTCACACCATTTTCTGTAGTACCGCTCCCGTCGAACTGTGTATTCGTGAGATGCATGGCTTTCTCAAGTGAGACTACAAGAAGTTGGCATTCGTGCTACTTTTAGGGACCTAAAATGTTTTATTAGTAGGTACTAACTCTTAAAATAAATTCTGTTTTGCTAGCTTCTATACCGGAGATGGATGACCAGTTTGCGACAGCTGAAGTACGGTGCGACGACCTTCAGGAGAAAATTGATTTAATAAAATCTTTAAAAAAGAAAAGGAAACTGAAAAAGCGAAGGTTTGTGTAACATTTATTAAATTGGTCAAGCAGATATATATACAATCTACATTCCTAGGCAGAGGGTACATGTCCGGGGCTCCGGCTCATCAGGAGTAGGAATAGGGTGGTTTTTAATCAGTAGAAGTCTGATACTGTCATTCGCCTCACCCATGGCGGGATAAGCCATTGGATGATATTTTTCCTTGACTTTGGTGGCTACTAACCACAGGTATATTAAAGAAGCTACTAACCATCTTGACTATAGTCACTGACTTATTTTCCAGCATGACTAAAGTAACAGACCAGCCAATGACACCAGAAAACGTTCCATTTATAACTGTGCGTACGCAACCGAAGAAAAGTAAGTACTTTTAAGTGATTTGTCTTTGTAAGCTGTATTATTGCTGAAACATATTATAGAGGGAAGATGGTACCTCATTTCGGAACAACAGCTAATCCTGTACAGAGCTACGATGCTTAAATTTGACCATATCTCAAGAGTCATATAAATCGAGGCCAGGATTTCTCCTCACTTATACCCTCCATGTTGCCTATAGCTGTACCTAAGTTTAAGGACACAAACCACAAAAGTCAGGTCTCGTGATAAGTAACGTTTAGCATGTAGGGAAAAATTGTGCCAGCTTTGCTGATTACAGAGGTGTCGCAGCAAGCTGCAAGACTACGTCGGTTAGAGGTGCCACCGAACCCTACACGAGGCTACCTGGACCCTGCTACCGTGGAACAGCATCGGATGATCGGCCAAGTGCGTGGCTACAACCAAACATTCAAGCCACAGCAAGAAAGATTTGGGGTCTGTAAGCACTGTTTAAAAAAAACAGATGTGACTAGGTGTCTATTTAATATAATAATAGTTACAAGTTAGGTTCACCTAGATCCTGGATTTACCTTGACTTAATATACGTAGACGTGTACTACGAAAATGAATAAAGAAATAACGAATCAAAAATTATGTAGGTACAGATAAGTTCAAAATATTTACATTTGAAAGATTAATAACTTAACATCGGTATGCGTTTACCTAGAGAATGGATCGCCATAGTGTAGAGTGTGGTCTGTAAGAAATGATAACTAAGTAGGTACTATAAATGCCATAAAGAACGTTTAGGTCCATTTAACGTACACCTAACTCTGTAGGTACAGAAGATTACTATAAATGTCGGTAATTTGTAATCCATACAAAACATCACGCCGTTTTACCCTTGAATGTATTATTCCACACACACAGGATTCATAACACCATTTAACTTACTAAATATTTACAATAATTACGATCGTGAATTAATCACCCAAAACTACTACCTACTTAATATTATGTTAAAGCAAATTGAATTTATTATATAGGATATTAACGCCCAGATTTATTGACCTATAGCAGATCCCTCCCCCAACCATGGACCACCGACTGTTTCCAAAACTACGGCGGCAAAGGTCGCATCCTGACGGCGACAGTGAGTACTTTACATCTACTGAAAAAAGCACTATGTAACTCGGGTACACACGATCTCTGAGACATGATGACGAACAAGTTTACTCATGTATGGAAACGCAAATTGTCTGTTTAAAAATATTTTATTAATAAGTGGCATAACTGTCTACTTTCAGATAACGTCTCTTCGATTTGGAGAATAAGATGTGTTTAGTAAACTAGTAACTTTTACCTGTTTTTATTGCTAACAATATTTTAAACAAAAGGTATGGGCGGTCAAAGCCAGCCGCCCAACGAAGGGTTGGAGGTAGCTTGTGGACAAGATGACGCGGGTGAAGAATATTCTAACTTCGGCGTCTATAACCGACCGTCTAACTAGTGAGTACATTAATCACTACATAGTATAAAACAAATCGCTTTCTCTGTCCCTATGTCGCTTTGGATGCTTAAATCTTTGAAACTACGCAAAGGATTTTGATGCGATTTTTTTTAATAGAAAGAGTGATTCAAGAGGGAGATTTATTTATATGTATAATACATACATATTGTACCCGAGCGAAGCCGGGGCGGGTCGCTAGTTAAAACTAAATATAATTCATTATCTTCATCAGTAGTTGTCTCGGTCCACTGCTAGACTAAAGCTTCCTTCAGGTTTTTGGCTTGGCTGACGACGACATGACTAATTTTCTGATTTAACTATTGTTATAAAGTTATCAACATACAACGAGTTAGGGTAGGTATATTAAAAGTAAGTATACTAAAATAAATAGGTACTATTATCTATATTATAACCAGAATTATGTCCAAAATATAAGAACTTATTTTAAAAAACTGTACACTAGTATTTTCTCCTGTGGCGTGGGTCCGTTCACAATCATACAATTTCACATATTATAATGACTTGTCATTATGAATAATATCAAATTAATAACTTTAATATACACGACACCCAGACCCGGAACAACAATTTGTGGATTTCACAAGAAATTGCTCCGTGCGAGAATCGAAATCAAGGTGTAGCCATTGCATAGCAATCGGTTGCCCAGCCACCGCGCCAACCGTGCCAACCGTGCACTCAAAATAAAGAAATTAAAAAAAACTTGCTTATTTCTAATTGTTTATACAGCCCAGTTGCTACTAATAAGAAACCTACGGATTTGCGTCAAATTAAGCAAACTGCGAGTCGGCGACGGCACGTTCCCAAGGAAACAATACCTAAAGAAGGCAAGGTTTACCTATTTGCTACAGCTAGATAATATGTAAGTTATTGGCAAATAACGTTCTCCGTAAGAGAAGGCCAGTGGCAAACTCTCCTCACTGGTCCCGTAGCAGCGGCTGGGGCTTGAGGATACTTGGTGCACGTTCCTTTACACTTGTAACCTTCTCGATTTTAAGTATGACTACTTCGAAAAAGAACAAACCTGGCTCTTACTAGCGTGATCATTTGGTTGAAAATATGGGGTGTCTGGAATGTTGCCTGCATGCCATGGCTGAAAACATTTAGCAAAACACAGTTACCAAAAACTACTAAATGATGGATACATACGTGCCATGTTTTAAAAATTTAATATTTTTGTAACAGGACTTGGTACTTATATTTTACAAATTAAAACAAAAACAACATATTAATATTAGCAATAAGGAACCATACTGGCGTTCTCCTTTATAAAGTAGGCAATGAATAAGTACATAATTAATAAATTGCAATAACGTCTGCTGTCACTTGCAGCCGAGGGTATGTCTTAAACGATGTTTTTATAGTTGGAACCAATCAAGTCTTGGAGGCCTGGCAGACCGGCGCACAGGGTGAGCAGCCGATACCTCGCCCTCGACGACGAACCACTAAAAGTCATCAATCTACTGGTAAGAATTCCCCTATACCAGATCTGCAGGTACACTAGATACACCTAACACCTACGTAATACGATATTCTACACGGGTCTTACTCGTTGTTACTATAGGTGTAGATGAAGTGACAGTAATTGACAAAGGGGAGGACCGGCCAGTGGTGGAACTGTTCAACAAGAGCCGAAATGGTCCCATAGATACACGGAGGCTAGCTGCCGCGGCGCCGGCGCCGGTACCCCTAGTGTCTCTTGCGCCTCATGACAAGAAAACCAAAAAAGGTACGAATTATATTTATTGAAGTCTGACCTGACCCCTTAAATGTACATACCTATCTATTTCTATACAAAATACGAAGGATCATAGTTTGTTAGTTACCATAGATTCTAAAGCGATTTTACTGTGATACTTACATATTCGAATTTTTTATACTACATAAATAGGTACTACTGGCAGCTACAAACATAGCGCCCCGTATGATTGTAGGGGTAGGTACCGTAGCCTAAACACATGTAGTTACAATACTAGAAGTATGCAAGCACGAGTGTATTATTGGCCATATCTAGAGACTCGTTGACCCCACAGTCAAACCATTGCAACGCTTTAGTGGGGCTTAGATTATTAAGATGTGACGTAAAGATAAATAATTAAAAAAATATAAAATGTCCCATTAATTTTAGAGAACCGGTTTATATGTTTGAATTTGGCATTATGTATCTTAATGCACTAGTTATTACCCGCAGCTTTGTCCGCGTAAAATATGATTCCGGTTTTATCCTATGGGAGCATTTAAACGGGAGAAAGAATCCTATCACCTAAGTCAGCTAATACCTTGCCTGTATACTTAATTTCATCAAAAAGTTCAGTAGTTTCAGCGTGATTGACGGATACACATTCAAACAAAGAAACTTTCATATTTATAATATTAATGTGATTATCTATTCACTATTACGTTTGGTCTTTCCTCAATGTTTATGAATTCGCTTGTGGGCAACTTCGTCGGAATTACAACACTTACCGATATAAATTTATTTTTTCCAGTTCGCAGTACAAAGTACGATGATGATACTGCTCAGATTGAAGACATTTTACAGGAACCAAAAAAGGTTTGGTGAAGATTCTTTTACACTAACTCGCCTTTGGTAAGCGATCATGTGGCCGACGATGCAGCCTGCTTACCTACATATAACCAATCTATTTACTCGACACTTTGTACCTTTCTGCCTCTGGAAACAAACGTTAGCAGGGACTCCTTAGCCGTTAGCACAATTAAACTAGAAGCGATAGGTTCTTGCGAGTCGGTGAAACATCATATGACAGATATATTTAAAACATTACTTAATATTTAGTTAACTAATATTTATTAAAAAAAAGTAAGTTCTCACTGTGGTTACTTTTGTGTTAGCTACCGTTGTAGTCGGTACCGAGTTATCAAGTAGCTGTTATTCTAGTCTAGAGTTTAGAACTCCAAGCCTAATGGCCTCTATCTGTCTCTATGCTTAATTACCTGCGTCTATAAACCTACATTCATAAACCTTCATAGTGCTATGCTGACATAGTAAGATAGGTCAGGAAGAATAACCACATATCCTGATATGACATTACCTGTGATATCGAGTTAAAACTAATCGTAATAAATGTAAATACATACATCATTTTGAATTGCTTACGATCTCAACACAGAACAGCTTGCGTCTCGTTACAATACTTCCTAATAGATGCAGCCAAACAGTACTCGGACACTCATGTAGGTGGCACCACTATATATATAATGCTGGCACATCAAGCTACCTAAAATTAGCGTTTTTATTGATTTTATTCAAAGTTGACAATTTAATGGGTGTTAGGTGATATCATCCTCATGTCTATTTTACCCACCTACCTATCTTACCGGTAGGTAGTATACCTAATATAAAAAAAATTGATAAGACACAATATATTTACAATACAATTAATTTGGTTGTTTCTTAAGGGTCGACCAAGCATTTGACAGAGAATTAACACAGCGCTATCTAATAAAGGATAAGGTCCTTTAAATTTATATCTCCAACCCTGGCAGGCGTGGCTTAGAGGAGGCCGTTAGACCTATGGACTAACACGGGGACGGGCTGTAATATAAAAATGTAACTAAATAATTAAGTAAATTGCAGGTAAATCATGAAGGATCGCATCATCCTCGCCGCATCAAATACAGGAGTCGTCGTTATGAGCTGCCAACAGTAGCGTCTCAGATGAAGCAGGCTGGCATGCGGTACTACTACGGGACATCAAACCACACTAACATACCGTTTGTAGTGAGCAAGAGTACGGCGCCCTCACACAACATCGGCGTCAACATACAACAGGTGATACGCGTTACGTATTGCTTGATTTCCCATTTGAATCTTATACTCTTATCCTTACTAATATTATAAATCAGAAAGTGAGTTTGTTTGTTTGTTTGTTCCGCTTTCACGTCGTAACTTCTAACCCGATTGCTTTGAATTTTTGCAGACGTAAAGTTAGAAGTCCGGATTAAATAATAGGGTACTTTGATATTCCCGAGGAAAAACAAAAGTATCGGTATAGATGGCGGTCTGTGTTAATTTGTATTGGTATATGTCACATAGGCTACTTTTTATCCTTTTGTGACGCGAGCGAAGCCGCGGGTAAAAGCTAATACTTTATAAAGCGGAAGAGTTTGTTTGTTTATACGTAACTATCTCCGTAACTACAAGTCTGATTTGAATAATTATTTTTGTGTTGGATAGCGCATTTATCGAGGATGGCTATAGGCTATAAAACATCACGCTATGGCCAATAGGAGCTGAGTAGAGCGTGTGAAACCGCGCGGAAGTAGCTAGTTTAAGATATTTTCTCTGTATTTTATTTCTCTTATTAAAGAAGAAACCTGCCTGCATGTTATACTAACAGCAAACTGAATTCTAACGTTTGGTTCAGTGTTTCTTAGCGGAGTATAATAGCTGCACTGAACTATTCTGGGGCTTATCTATTGAAAGAATAAATATACTTATTGTTTATTTAATTGCAGGTGTTAAATGGTCTTAAAATACAACAACCATTATCAGGCATACCTCTGACTATAGCGCATCACATGGGTAAGAATTTTTAGATTTCCATTAAAATATCGACTATAGTTCCGTGATATACCTATCTATATAAATAAAAATGAATGTACGTTCGTTAGTCTCGCTCAGGGCCAGATTTAGGGGTCCAGAGGCCTCGGGGCAACAAAGGAGTGGAGGCCCCCTTGCCCCAAATTATTTTCCAGATTGAGATCGAGGACGCTCGCTCGATTTCGAGGACGCTCGAAAACGATCGAGGACGCCCGATAGATTTCGAGGACGCTCGAAAACAATCGAGGACGCTCGAAAACGATCGAGAACTCTCGATAGATTTCGAGGACGCTCGAAAACAATCGAGGACGCTCGATTGATTTCGAGGACGCCCGATAGATTTCGAGGACGCTCGATAGATTTCGAGGACGCTCGACAGATTTCGAGTTTAAGAATTGAAGAATACCAATTGTTCACATACTGCAATTAATTTATATGTATATATATATATATATACATATATATTTTTTTTTAATGGTCGGACACGGAATCGAATAGCCAACCTCCGAGGTTGCGGGCAAGTACCATCCCACTGAGCCATTGAGCCATTGGGGTACTCCCTCAAGATGGGTAGTAAATTGGAAGTGCTTATCAGAGCCATTTGAGATTTTAATATTTCACTGATTGCCTGATTGGAGTGAACAAATACCTCTATAGATCAATGATTTCTGTTTCTGTTAATATTTAAAATTAATATAATCAAATAATCATGTATGTATAAAGTACTTTAGGCTGTAGGTAAAGGTAAAAGGGAAAAAAAATATCAAAGAAAAGATGTTTACTAGGTTTACTAGTTGAAATTTGAAAGACTTTTTTTTCCGAAGTCTCTATTGTGGAGGCCCCCTGCTTGTGGAGGCCCCGGGGCTTTCGCCCCGGTTGCCCTCCCCTAAATCCGGCCCTGGTCTCGCTAAAACTCGAGAACGGCTGATCCGATTTGGGTAATTTTGGTCTTGAAATGTTCGTAGAAGTCCAAGGAGGGTTTAAAAGGTGAGAGAATATTTTTAGGCGGTACGAAGTTTGTCGAGTCACCTAGTATTCTATATATCCTCTCATTCTATATTATGTAGATGATAGAATGAGAGGAATTTGAGTACCGTCATTATAGACATAATTAAAGAACAATAGGTAGCGATCACCGTTGTCTTCGCGGTGTTCGACAGTTTAATGAATGATGAGCATGCAGTTTAAATATACAATATAGGTAGAGGTACATATCCTGTGGAGCCCACTCAACGTCAATAGTCGTCGCGGTAGGCCCAGATGGAGATGGCGGGATGAACTTGACGCCTATGAAAAGTATTGCCCACAGAAAGCTATAAGAGACGAGTGGAAGAAGGGTAGGTAGGCCTTTGCCATGCAGTGGGACGACCAGAGCTAAAAATTTAATAGATACATACAGTATCTATTAGTATTGAATCAAACCTTAACAATCATTAAACAATTATTTGCATTACTCGACTCCTAAATCTTCGAGTCGAAATTCTTTGTCTAGTCATCAGTAAAACGTCAATAGGTCTCAAGTATGTAACATCGGGCCAGTGATGTTATCGAGCCGGAAAAGTATTTGTTGAAACATTTACCTATAGTCTTGTAATATTATCGAAAACCTATTTGATTAATACAGTTTACCCTGCATTTCAGGTTTAGGTCATGTACCAACATATGGAGCGAAGAGTACAGTTGTAGTAAGTATTCATTTCAATAATTTTCATATATTTTGAAGAAGTCAATTACCTCACAAGCGGTTGATTGTTATAATATTAATTTAAAGGAGCCATCTCTAGACCACCGTGAGATAAATGCGATCCGAGTTGGTCGGCGGTTGCTACGACTACCGTCCTACAAGTACATGTCCTACAACCGACTGTTGAGCCTCTACCGCGAGGGAGATGGGATGGTGCCTAGGTTTCTACGGGCCATATCACGTCCTCACTATTTCTACACTTCCATGTACAAGTGAGTTATCTGCAACCAAACCTAACTTACATTTGTTTGACAAGATCTTTACTCGATTTTTTTATGGCATAAGCCGGTAAGCGAGCAGACGGATCACCTGATGGTAAGCAATCGGCGTCGTCCATGGACACCTGTAACACCATAGGCGTTACAAGTGCGTTCCGGCCTTTTAGGGATTAGGAGTTTAAGGATCGTTGGGGATTCAGGAATTGGGGAGATTGGGGAAGGGGATGGTGATTGGGCCTCCGGTAACCTCAATCACACGACGAAATACAACGCAAGCGTTGCTTCACGTCGGTTTTCTGTGAGACCGTGGTATCACTCCGATCGAGCCGGCCCATTCGTGCCGAAGCATGGCTCTCCCACAATCGATCAGTTTGAACTCCACACTGTACTGTCCGTAAATCTCAAAATAATTCAGGGTTTTTATTTACAAAGTTTTATAATTACCTTTGCAAAAGTTTTCAAGTGCGTATTAATGTTTCAAGCAGCCTCGCGACGAATCGAGAAGATTTTGATGGAGCGACGTCGAAAGGTCGTGGTGGTAGTCAGGAAGCGAAACAGAGTCTCGCAGAGTACGCCAGTTTGTATCGGGAGTACGAACAAGTTGATAAGTGCATCAAAGAAGGCAATTTCGAGCCTGAACTAGAGCGTCGCAGGGACGAGCTCACAAGAGAGTTGGCTGCCCGCGAAGAACATATACGCAGAGTGAGTAACTTACGTGTTACCTGGTGCCAATACGCGGTGAGCGTATTTCTTCTTGAATGAAATCTTGGATGTGTCTTTTTACAGGTGGTTCAAGAATACCGAACAGGCGGTGAAGCAGACCCAATCTTACGCGCATCGGCTTCAACGGCTGAAGAGGGTTACCGACACTCTTCCTTTAAGTTGGGAGACACTCAACAGTAGACAACGCCCTAACCGTCGCTAGGTTCGCTTCGTTTTCTAATGTTTCACTTGATACAACAAAAAAACCCGAATACATAGTTTGCGCTCAAAAAACGTCCTCATAATAAACCTAACGCACTAAAAGTGACTCGAACCTGTCAATGAAAAAAATATCAACTTTATTTATCAATATTTATTTATGTAAAAATTGTAAAATATTGGAAATAAATTGTTATAAATTAAGGATTATACCGCTTCCAGTCTGCGTAATATTGGAGTGGAATATATTTGTTTATTTTATTCACGCGTCTACATGCTGAGTTCGAAAAATTGTCACATTATAATACCTGCCTCGTCATCATCGGAGCTGTAACATCCTTTTGAGTCTACTTTTACACCCATTGAACTTTATCAAATACTTTATTATTTACTTTTTTATGAATCTTGATTGTAAAGTTTCCTTAAATGACTTCAGCTTCTGTCACGTATATAGTATATTATTATGCTTTATGCTTAGGAATTTTCTTTTTTTCCTTTTATATTTTTCTATTAAGTTGTAGCCCATTTGTAATACCTTGTCATATATTGTTGTACATACATAGATTACCATTATGATGCTCACTTATGAATACTGCTTAAAACTGTTACGAAATGAGTAGGTGTAATCAAGTATTTTAGCCGGATAAAATCATTTGTGCAATAAAGTAAGTTTCAGCTCAATAGCACGATGTGCTAGCGTATAGTTTCACTAGAAATGTGCAACTGTTTGATTGCTCAAATTAGTTTCACGTACAAAGGTTTCGACGGACGTTTTTAAAGTGCATTTGATTGAAAATTTCGGGTACGCTCCGTGTGGACTGCATTGCCTGTCCGGGAGCACGCCTCACTCGGGGAGCACCTGTGACTGTCAGCCTGTTGTTATACTTACCTAGGCTTAACTTGACCCAGCTCAGGACTACTCAAGGGTATTGTATTATTAGCTGTGTACGAATGTTTAGTGACGCAACCGGTCCCATATTGTTGTCCCGATTAATTTTTGACTGGTGTTTGAAAGCATATTGATTGTTACGTCGAATATAAATTATTAATGTTATCTTAACTTTGTTGGCAGAGAGTAAAAGTTTGTGAATGATGTCATGTTATAAAGAAGTTTGAATACATATTACTTTGAATTTTCAATTACTGTTTTATTAATTTCATTTTATAAAATGAATGAGGGAATATAATGGCGGTATGAGATCTACTAAGCAATGTGAGCATACAATTATTGCATACATACGAGTAATGTACGCAGTGTATGTATATGTAGTACGAAGGGGTAATGATGATTCATACCTAAGAACTTTTAATGTCTATATCTTAATACATAATGTTTAATAACATGAAACATTTCGACACATTTTGTTATGTACACATAGTTAACAACAACGAAGAGTTGAATTACATTATATTACTTATCTATGTAATAAATAACTAAGCGGGGCGACAAACAATACCTACAGTAGTTACAATATTTTAATAAGACTGTTCGAACATAACGTTAAAATTGCTCGCTACAATCTACAAAGATATTTGAAATATTTACACAATTATATAACAATAAATATATCTTAATATATCGAAATATTTGTCCTAAGGTGTATCTACGACAGGGCGCAAACGTGGACACTTGAGTCTGATGCCAGACACTGGACACATGCTTCCGATGACATTAATTTGGTTTACATAGAACCAGTATGAAATCGTCCACAACCAGTTGCTTCCTCTTAACACATAGTTACACAAAATTGTTCAAAAGGAGTTGTCGGTGTCGATAACTGGACACAAAGAGTGTCTACGTTTACGCAGCGCCTAAACATTTGCCGTAAGGTTCTTCTAATTTGAGGGATATGTGGCTGCATTATTGGAAGTGTCTGTGCATTGATACCCACCAAAAATGTTTGAACAAATGACTGGGATATTATGCAACTGCAATGTTGCATGGTAATATGTGCAATGTGTGATTTCATCAGCCATTGTTACCGGTTAGCCAGTTTAGGAGTATTCACTTCATCCATTGAATACATAATACTGCAACAATGGCCCAGCCATAGATTGCTCGGCCGTCAGTAACAACAATATATTTTTGTGATGACCGAGCAATCAGTTGCCAATAGTGCAGGCACAAATTGCAGTAAAACTTGGCCCGTGCAGCAAAAAGTGCGTATTTACTTGCGATCTATTGATGTGTTGCTAATAATAGTCATGCATTTATCATAATATTCATTGATGATTCTAATAATTGTATTGGCCTAGACGTTAGTATCTACTTATGTTCTGAACATTAATATTTTTACAAAACTATACTTAAAATAAGAACAAAATATAACTATGTATGCTTATAAATAGACATTACATTAGCGATTGAAAAACAACAGGAATCCTTAGATACTTGTATTTTGCATTTTCATGAAATTGAGTATGTAATTAGAGTATTTTGAGCTATTACTAATGTGTTCTTCGATACACTAATGAATCGGTTATGTAGGTACGATAGAAGCATCGTAAGTAAAATAAGTACAAGTATATCCTACTCTAAGACTCTAGTCACCTTCAAATAAGTAATTTTAGAACAATTCAATATTTAGGGAGAACAAATTGATATTCTTGCTGATATAATTTTGCCCAGTGTATCAGTATTGCACGAGCTTTAATCTGATACTAATAAAGTCAAGGATTTATTCGTCTTCACTTCGTGGCTTCTAAAGTACCTACACATTAAATATTCCAATCATGCATGGCAAAGGTTGCACTGTGGGAGATTTTCAGTTTAGTTGCGGGTGTCAGTGGAGGAGGGAAGGTTCTCGCCGTCAATCTTGTGGCGTGTGGCCTGGATGTAGGCCTCTGCAGCCAAGGCCGGCCAAGCATCGGTAGCAGCCGTTGAGGCCCCGGCCCCACCCCAGGCCTCTGTCGTGGACACCTCCGCAGGCCTCTCCACGCTCTCTGTTGCTTTTGGCGTGGACTCCAGCGACAAGGATTTTGGCGTCTCAATCCTTTACAATACGAATCAATCATTATTACGGAATTGGTATTTTAGTTTTCGGATATTCCCATTTGTGACAGGAGTTAATACTTGGACTGTGTCATTATTAACGAACCGATTTTTCTAAATGAAGTGTGGAAATTCACATTTAAAGCAGTAATTAGATGCAGTAGTATTTAATAATCAATCAAAACACAATTTCAAAGGTAATGTCATATACGAACAATCGATAAACATTTTTCAACTTTATTATTCAAGTATTTCTAGCAATCGATGCGAATGATGTGTTTTGCTTTTATATGTTTTAACCGCAAAATTTAAGTAACTTCGCAGCTATGTTTAGTAACGGGACATTTAGTGGGACTCAGGTCAAGGATAGGTGTGGGCTCTTAGAGAAAAAATACCTCACGCGTTCTGGTGACTGCATAGCGTCGTTTGTGCTGGAAATCTCTAAGTCTTCAGCGTAGCTCATGTGCAATTTGTCGCCATCGCCACGTTGCTCTTTTTCTAAAAGTTTTGTTAAAATTTCATAAAGCTGTTTAAAAATGTACACAATGTTATGTCGAAAAAGATTCACAGTAAATTGTACCTAATCATACTAGTTATAAACATTGAAAACGCATAACTAAGTAATTAAAAGTATCCTTAACCGACGAGCATGCATGCAAAGACTAATGACTATTGATGAAGCAAAAGATGTAATGTACGAATCGTGACAACGTTCCATAGTCTCTGCCTACACCAGTCAGGTATATGGGAGACAAGCGTGAGGTTCTATGAATGTACGTAACTAAGTCAAATTACCATCAACGTTGATGGCCGCCTCGGGCCAACCCAAGGAGTCTCCCTCTACATCAACTGGCTCATCTTCAGCGTCGTAGGGGCGGGACTCCCGGGGCCGCTCTTCCCGCCGTTCCTCCTCCAAGTCATACCCAAGCATGCTTTCAACTGTATGGTGGCGCTTGCGAGTGCGCAGCTTCAACCGACGCTGGCGGTTGGCGCGAATCCGCTGATAAGTCTGGGACCACAGAAAAGTATTATTAACAGAATGTTACATTTTAGAATAGGTTACACAAAAATAAAACACTCATACATTTAATTTAAGTACTTTGTATTTAAATAACACATTTTGGAAAACAATGGTGTCTAGTACTCGACGATTAATATATCTCTTCCACATCGATATTTTGTTTGCGTATTTTATCGTGGTATGTATTCGGTTAAGACTTACTATACATTGTGTTTTTACATTTCAAGTTTTCAATAATCATCCATTTTAGTGAACCGAAATGTGCAATATTTACCGCCGCGGCGCCGGGTACTGTAAGTGATGTAGCATTTGTAATGGGACACACAGATCACCCGACGGTAAGTAATCATGGCCGCCCATGGATACACAACACCACGGGAGTTACAAGCACGGTGTTGGATTTTAGGGGTTAGGGATTTGAGCATTGGGGGATTTAGAGATTGGGGATAGGAGGGGAGGATTGGGCCTCCGGCAGCCTCGATTATACGGAGAAGCAGAAATCACGCGTTGTTTCCCGTCGCTAGTCGAGCCAGCCCATTTGTGCCAGCATTCTAGCATCTAGGTTACCTCCCAACGAGCGTCTTCGTCCTGGTGGTGCAGCGAGTGCTGTGGTGGCACGGCAGTATCCCGCGGCAGCGCGCTGAGGCTATACAGGTGCTGCAGCTCCTGCAAGAAGTGCGCCTGAGCGACACCTGGGCCCAGCCGCGCTCCACAGACGCCACATGAAGATTTGCGCTCACCGTCCGCTATATAAACAATGAAATAATTTATAAATCGAATATAGTACATTTAAAATTGCTGCCTTGTTGCTTCGTTGCCTCGACAGATTTTGAATGAAATCTAATTGAGGTTTCTAGGGGTTATTCTTGACGAACACCTTACATGGAAAATCCATATAGATAATATTTGTAATAAGATTAATAAGTTTATCTTTGCTTTGAGAAAGGTTAAAGACGTTACATCAAGGTGTACGGCTATTCTTGTTTACCATGCGTATGTTTGTTCAATAATTCGTTATGGAATAATTGTTTGGGGAAATTCTACGGATATTTCTAGAGTGTTTATAGCGCAGAAAAAATGCATTCGGGCAATATTTAATTTGAAATGGTCTGAATCCTGTAGGCCTGTATTTCAGTCTAATAAGCTGTTAACTGTCCCGTCCATTTATATTTATGAAATTGCTAAATTCATAAGAACCAATCCTTCGCTTTTTCAAGTTAAAGATAATGTAAATAAGAGAAAAGCAACATGCGTACTTCTTCAAGTGCCTTCACCTAGATTGGAGTTATTTAGACGGAATTGTGTTTATATGGCTCCTCTAATTTATAATACGTTGCCTAAATCTATAACTGAACTTCCGTATAAGAAATTTTGTAATGTATTAAAGCAATGGCTAATTAAAGAAAATTACTACTCAATCCACGAATTTTTAGAAAAAAACAAATGTAAATCTTTTAGTTTTAAAGAAAGAAATAAATAAGAGCAGTAAGTGTACTTAGTTTATGAACCAAAATTGTAGCCTTCATGTATTTTATTTTAATCTACAGTAAAGATTAAATGTACCCAATTTGCATGCCAATAATGGTAAATGTGCTGATCTAAATATATTGTATGTAACATCTATATCATGTACCACATTGAGCAAATAAAGAATTATTATTTACATATATTTATTTAAAATTCTCTATAAATTATATTTCTAAATACTATTTACAAAATAAAAAAAAATAATATTTAAAAATATAAAAAATAGGACCCGACCAGTAGCGGGAGCATGGTCCAAGCTACCGGTGGTTAGGGCTCCAGAGACAGAAACCTCCTCACGATACGTGCCGTTTCTAGGAGAACTGCCTTCTGTATCAGGCCCTTGATCCATCCACCTAACGCCAGCCTCCTGAGATGGATGTCGAGGCTTTTAGGGATTAACCCATTGGCCGACACGACTATCGGCACAATGATAGCCGAATCCACACTCCACATGTCGACAACCTCGTGAGCTAAGTCTAGATATTTTATTTGTTTATCTTTCTCAGCTTTCACGAGGTTCTCGTCATGGGGAATGGTGACATCGATTATCATCGTGCGGCGTACTTGACGGTCTATCACTACTATGTCAGGTTTATTGGCTACAATAGTCCTGTCAGTAATGATAGACCGGTCCCAGTACAATGTGATATGGTCATTTTCCAGAACTGGGTCGGGCACATACTTGTAGTACGGTACCTCAGAATCAACAAGTCGATAGTGTAAAGCAAGTTGCTGATGGATAATCTTGGCTACTTGATTATGCCTATGCAAATATTCACTGTTAGCCAAACGACCACAACCAGAAATAATATGTCTAATGGATTCACCGGGACTATGACATGCCCGACACATGTCAACCGTCCCATCCTTAAACTGTCAAACACCAAGCGGTCACCGGTGACCGCAACCTATTGTTCTTTAATTGTGTCTATAAATACGGTAATCGACGAGTTAATTATATATTTCCGGTAGTTATTCGTAAGGATAACTTCGTCCATAATTGCACAGACAAATCCTTCAGTTTCTCCAAAGAGATTACTGAATCGTAGCCAAGACACGGACGCTAGAAAATCTACACTGGGCCCATGAAGGGCCCGGAAGAAGCGTCCGTGGAGCTCCTTGCTATGCCATACCTCCTTGCGATCATTGACGCTCAGTACAACAGGTTTGCGCCAGTTCTCTTTTGCCAAGGATAGTGGAGTGAATCCATTGTCCACCGCTGCTACTTCTCGATGCATACCCTCGTTGACTTTCAGGAAATATTCCCTGAGGCTGCACACCTCACGGTTGTGAAGGGTCTTAGCATTTAATAAGCCTCGACCACCACACTTCCGCGGGATGTACAACCTCATGACCGACGAACGAGGGTAATGCATGCGATTTGCAGTCAGCAGGGTCCGGACTCGTCTATCCAGGGTGTCTAGTTCAGTCTGTGTCCACTTGAGTATACCAAAAGAATACATTAGGACTGGCATGACCCAACCGTTAAAGGCTCGCACCTTGTTTCCGCCTGATAAGGAACTTTTGAGTACCTTATTCAGGCGGCCAAAGAAGCGCTCCTGTAACGATTGCTTCATGTCCGGTCCATTAATGCCTAATCCTTCTGATATACCCAGGTATTTGTATGTATCGTTTGCGGAGAGTGATCTCAGTTTTGTGAAATCTGAGAGTTCTAGTCCCTCAGATTCCACAATCCCTCCTCGCTTTACATGCATGACCGCACACTTGTCTACTCCAAACTCCATTCTGATGGAACTACTAAATTTTTCAGTTATATTCAGTAGTTCCGTCAGTTGTTTCTTGTTTGGAGCAAACAACTTGAGGTCATCCATGTAAAGTAAGTGGGATATAACTAAACCCCTTCTCCGCAAAGGATAGCCTAGCCCTGAATCCTCCAGTAGAGTACTTAGAGGATTCAAGGCCAAGCAGAACCATAGTGGGCTCAGGCTGTCACCCTGGAATATTCCTCGTACTATCCTTACAGGTTCTTCATTCCCTTGGATTTGTCTACATCCCGGATAGCAAAGCACGGTGCTCCACTGCCTCATACATGACTCCAAGAAGGCGCGTAAACTTGCATGTATTTTATACAACTCCAGCACCTTCAGGAGCCATGTATGTGGCACAGAATCATATGCTTTTTTATAGTCTATCCAGCATGTAGACAAATCTTTTCGGGACCGACGAACCTGTTGGCTAACAACCATATCAATGAGGAGTAGCTCCTTAGTTCCACGAGACCCCTCCCTACATCCATTTTGAGACACAGACATGATGGAATTTTGTTCAATATGTTTTGTTATTTTTGTCCTCAAAATGGATGTAAGAAGTTTATAGACCGTTGGTAAACATGTGATTGGTCTATAATTTTTGGGTTCAATGGAACTACCTGATTTATGGAGCAGGTGGGTAACTCCTGTTGTTAGAAATTGTGGTAACGACCCAATTTCCAAAGCTGCCTGGAAGTGTAATGCTAAGCGAACGTGTGAACTCTTGAACCATTTAATCCAGAAATTGTGCAGTCCGTCCGGCCCCGGTGATTTCCAATTCGGAACCGAACAGGCTGCACTGGCTACATCAGAGGAGGTGATTTCTACCTCCTCCATTTCTGGTATAGTCTCACACCCTCGCTTAACATCACACATCCAGTCACCTTCTGTGTGGCTAACAGGTACCGACCAGATGTTGCGCCAAAATGTGTTAGTGGCATCATCATCCGGTCGCCGCCCGTCAGCCACATCTTGGTTGGATCGTTCCCAATCTCTGTATACCCACCTCTGATCTCTTTGGAACATGCGATTCTGAGTATATGAATTATTATTATTATGTATGTCTTTACCATTCACGGGACCACAGGGTCCCGGTCATTTGGGAGGCGTACGAGGGGCCGAAGCCAACTGCGCAGAGGCCCTTTAGACAACTTTAATATAAATGTAATGGACACACAAACCGGCGACTATCCCTGTATGCACTATGGAAATGCACCCAAGGACAGTCCCCGGTTAGTGTAGGACTATTGTGAATAATGGAAAAAAAAAAAAGGTAGGGCTATGGATGGGTTGCTGTGGACTGGTAAATTGGGAACTATGGATGACTATGACACCTGCCGAAACAATGTAACTTTTACACGTAAAAATGGCAGGCGGAGACTCGCCAACTCACCGACCGGGCCCCGGAAATGGTTGCTAGATATAGCAACAGAGGGGCAACGAGAATGTGAGTGGCTGAAGGGTTAAGAAACTACCACCGCTTTCTACTCAGATCATCTGCTCCAGCCGAAGCCTCCTGCATCCCTGGCCCACTCGCGACTTACGAATAGTTTCTTACCCTCCGAGCAGGATCACTGCTCTCGCGACTCCACTCTGGACGGCCAATGAAGGCAAGCCAGAGGTGGGAGACCTGTTCCTTGTCATCGTTCACTCCAGCCAGCCAATTAAGGCAAGCCGGAGAAGAAGGAACGGTGACCTCTCCCTGGAGCACTCGGGATGATGGTAGCCCGCGGGATCGCTAATGCCCGTCACCTCGCCTCAAGGTGCCCTGCGGGCTTATTATTATTATTATTATCGGTTTTGGACATTAATTTATGCCTTTGTAAAATTGAGCTATTTTAAGCTCATAGCAGTAGCCCGCGGGATCGCTAATGCCCGTCACCTCGCCTCAAGGTGCCCTGCGGGCTTATTATTATTATTATTATCGGTTTTGGACATTAATTTATGCCTTTGTAAAATTGAGCTATTTTAAGCTCATAGCAGGTCTAACAGGTCAGGTACAACAAGGTACCCAGATACAGGAAGATACCCACACATGATTTTTATATCTTCCAATGTTTTTGTGTTATCCTATAATGAAATGATTAATTGTCTAGCTGTTTGGATTATCAATATCCATTCCACTGACAGTCATATAGAGGTATAATATGGCGACCATAATTATTACAAAATCAATACTAAATAATTAATTAAAATCATTATATGCCTATTACTTAGTAATAGGTACTCAATTAGGTTTCACATTTCTGGCGTGTATGCTTATAAGCATGCCTCACACGATTATTGATAATGGAAAGTCACTTAATTAAGCTTAAAGACGCACTCCATTACAATAATCAGAATGTACACATGTATAGCCATTATGTATTATCACTGAATCGTGTGTCCATAGTCCTACGGTTGATTAGGCAGAAACTTAGACTGCCACTTACATTATCGAGTACACTTACAATATGCCTGATGCCGGACGGATGCGTTGACACGGCGAGTAGATACCTATCTATTAGGTACGTAATAGCTTATAGGATGAATCAAGCTCCGACTGATATCCAATCCAATATCATAAGATCACGCCGTTTATTCTTCGGGATAGTTTATTTATATTAAACTAGCGGCCCGCCCCGGCTTCGCACGGGAGTAATGCTAATCAGTAAAGTAACTACGCCAATGTAGCCAGTGTGGTTGCATGAGGGTCACTGATTCAAGGGGCCTCAAATGATAGACTAATAAAATATTACTTCTTTACATAGTTGATGGTTGGTACCCTTTTTGTGGTATGGACGAAGAAACACTTTCGAAGATCGAAGGAGCCCTTTTCTATCGTTTGGCTTTGGGGCCCAAAAAGACTAGTTACACTACTAATGCTGATAGTAATAAGTACCTACATGTAATAAAAGGCTTATTTTAACTGCGATTACAAAATTAATTTATGTAGCACCTAAAGTAGGTACCTATGAACAATGAACATACAATTTTAATCGTAACGTTCGATGTGGAACCTACTATTGAATCAACGCAAGTATAACTCACTAACTACTAAATTATTTTTGTTTAGTTTTAAATTTAGTATTTTAAAGTGGAAAAATAATCTTAGTTGAAAAAAATGATAAAACCCCGAGCAATCAGGCTTAGGTACTATACCTCACCGATAGACCATGCCCGACATTCAGATCTAGATAGCAAGCATGGAGCAGCAGTTGAAGAGAATGAAGTACGTCATTACTACGGAGGACAAATTCAATTCAGAGCAAACGCTTAGAATTTCTAACTTGAGCCGTAAGCTGGAGCTGATGTCTCGCAAATAGCTGTCTTATATCAATTTCTGCAACAGCAAGCCCGTATAGCCGTTACCTTAATGGATCAATTGAAAGAAAACTGTGACTTATCGAAACACAAAACGAATGTGTAATAATCAGCTCGAAATCGAAACAGGATTCTGAAAACTTAGCAGTTGGCCTGTCGTTATCCGGGCTTGTCGCAGACGAACCGAACAAGCGCAAGCCACGAATCACAATTATAGGAGTGCCGTCGTCTATGTCAAATGTTTTCAATATGGACAAGCAGTAAACACATGTAGAGTGGCTACTGCGGAGAAGTGGGACATGTAACATCCGTGTGGACAAAAAAAATGGAATCTCCTAAATATGCTACAGTGTTACATGCTCGCGTTACAACAAGCCCTGTAAACACAAAACCAGAGATGCTAACTGTCCTGCTAGGAAAATAGCTGAATATATGTAGGTACATCAACTATATCGATTATGAGGACGCGTAAAGTGTCACAGATTATAGAGTTGATTAGCCATTTCTTGTACAATAATAAATATCGTGACATGTTGGTTTACTTAACAATTTGTTGCTGTTTAAGCATATTTTATTGTAACACTAAGTGAATAACCGTTTGGACACTAACCTAGATTTTGTTTCTCTTGATGTATAAAATTCTTCGGTAATATAGTACCCACAATGGTTAATATGTATATATGTTCTATTATTTATCTATCTATGTTTTGTATTTAAGTAAAACATAATATTGTTGTACTATGATGATTATATTATTGCAGATATAAATATACATATAGTTCAGTAACTTACGTGAAAAGAAGTCGTGAGAGTCCGTGCATGTTGGTGCCGATGGTGCGTCGTCATCCTTGCAGGGTCGAGGCGAAGCGGACGCGGCGGAGCCCGGCGAGCTCGTGTCGTCTCGCGCGGCGTACGCGTGGCGGTACAAAGGCGGCGTGCTGCTATCATCGCGAACGTTCTACACGACATATTTTGAAACAAATGTATAATAGAACGAACTTTTGATTGCGGTTGGCGCAATAGCTGCTGGGTGACCACTGCAGGGCGGTAATGTGATCCTCTAATTGTTGTATGAATTTTACTTGTCATAATATTCTCCTTACATTTTCATGGATAAATTGACATTCATTTATATTAGTTAGGAAAGTAAAGCATGGCACTTCAAATCGGATAAAACTTTATTTTGTAGGTAACTCACCCTCAAAGCTTGTCCAACGCTCTGACCAAGCGCGTACTGTTCACCGAGATGCCTAGCAAACGCTTTTCCAGGGTAAAGAGGGTGGAACGCGCCCCCTATAGGACGAAAAGCGCCACAACCGAAGCTCTGTAGCGCTGGGTGCAGGAACTGCGGCGCCATGTGGTGCAGGAACCCCTCCATGACTGACGGGTGCACTAAACACGATACCACCATTAACAAGCGCCCTAAAAGGCCATACGCTAGCTAATTAAAAATCAGAAAGAAAGAAAACAGATGTAGATATTCGCAAGCGTTAGATATTGTCTTCGCTCAGCGAATAACGTGTAACCTAGCTTAAAATCCGACCAGCAAGCAAAGTGACATTGAATAGAATCTGCAGTTTCCATTCAATGCCCCAATACGTGCATTGAAACACTCATGGAGCTTTACATTTATACCTATATTTGTAACAAACGCAGAGCCTACTGGAGCCTTCTTTGTACAAACACAAGTTGCATAATAAATCTGGAACAAACATTTGAAATTTAACTGACTTTTTATTAACGATAGATCACACAAAGCTACTTACGCCACAAAAAACATTTCCACAGAAAGTGGTCATCGTAACGGTTTCGGGGAAACAAACAAAAAAGCAGAGTTACAGGCACTTAACTACACACGAATAGACAAGGTGTTTATTTTGAAAGCGTACATATTGCGTCGCGTGCGCACGCCGCCGCGGCGATCATCGGGAGGACAACGCGAACAAATAAACACCACTCGTCATCTCATTGCTGCCGTCACAAATCATATCATATAGAACAATTATTAAATTGTGACTTCCTAAACAGTCTTTTGCTTTTAATAATTATTATTAGACACATTCTAAACAATCAATATTTAGGTAGATTTCTAATAGCAGGTAAAAAGAAGTGTAAGCAGTTAAGTAAGTACGTAATAAAGCATCAGTCGCTCTTCTATATTTCCCTTCTAGTTTTCTTTTCATGTAGGTAGGTTATACTCCAGGTGCACTAGCTACACGAATGAATACATCGATGTAGATCATAACAGTCGAACACGAAATTTAAACTAATTGACAAAAGCTAACTTCAAATCAATAAATGATTGGTAGACGATCCCGGGATGGAGTGCTTGCAAGCGTGGTCGTGTTTGTGTTTAGCTTTTAATAATGTTGTCATCCGTTTCACGCAATAGTTCAATATTACAGTTTTCGGACAAAGTCTGTGGTATCCCTTTGGCGCGTCCTATTACGTAGCAACAAATAACCGCAGTTATGAGACCTCGCATAATTTGCCTTTGTGTCACATTCGAACTCGAGCTGCCAGACAGACAGATGTGATTGTTGAAGCATTTTCCATTAATTCCGTATTACAGGTGCACCCGCTGCTCACATGTCACCAGCAGCCTTTTGAACGTTTGTCCAGAGCGAATGCTACTAAGTACATATTTTTATACCATAAATATAATACAGAGAAACATTGTCGTTTTTACATTGTTTAGGTAGTACGGCAAAAGGTGTGAGTTCAAGCACACTTTTTTCACAATTGGAATAGGCGAATAACGAGATCCCCATCGCGTTGTTTTTCATGAATGTCACTCAGTCTTTTCTCAAAACAAGTAGATAGACACCTAACGCTATCAGTGCCAGCCCTTTGAAGAAACTGGCTTTTTATTCTTTCAATATTTAAAGTTAAGTTAAACAGCGACAGAACTCAAATCATACTACGCCAGTATGCGCAAGGCCTTTGTATGTTAGTAGTACTAGCCGATTAAAAAATAAAGCATAACAGGCTTCTGAGTAAGTGTACAATAGTATATTAACATCAAATTCTAATTTCTCAAGTTAACAATAACAGAAAGGAGTAAGAAATTAACTGTCCAATCTAACCCTACAATGAGATTGTGGACATGAATGACAATATACTGGGCTGGGACATAATTAGCGTGTCAAAGAATTAATTATAGGTCTAATGTACAATTATCATTGACAAGCCGATCCAATCAGCGACCCGTCTGATTAACAGTGACATATATAGGTGAGATCTCAATATCAGGCCGTTTGAGTCTCCAATTAGTAGAGCGGCGTAATGGCTTAAGTGTTGTCGCTGTAATCAATCGGTGAATAAACAGTGGGTATTGCTTTGTACTGAGGGTGGTCACACCGCTACCGGCTCTACTGATGTCTATTGTAAACACGCACTGTACCTCGCCACTTGCAGCCTCGGACCTAAGTCCTATAGACGGAGCTATCATTGGAAGACTGATAGGTAGTGTGTGGAATAATATCAAGTATTACATATGTTTTGGACTCTTCTTAAGATATCATTTAGCAGCGGCATTTTATTTAAACAGATAAATAACGTACAATAATATTTTATCATGCCACACCAAACAATTCATGATTAATTTCTGAATGATTATTTCCACTTATTAAATGAATGAAAAATCTATGACTGTTGTGAGCAATTCCCAATAACTTTAAATTAATGCAATTAACTCAGGAGTAACAGTTACCTTGCTCCAAACTAGGGAATCTGCATACGTATATCTATGCAACTGATTGTTCTGATGTCCTGCATCCGTGTAACGAAGATTACGCAACACTTCCCCGAACTATAAGATCCTTGAGACAGGACAATGATATTAGGTCAGTTTGGACAACGAAGGGGCTTACTCAAATTGAATAAAGAGGTTGTTTAGCTTAAACCGATACAACAGCATACATTAGGTTATATTAGATAGCCATTTAACACGCCTAGATTAATAGTATCGTCTACGTCTTCTATTATTATGAAATGTTTACATATAATTGTAAAGATATTTTCACATTGCTATTGTGAGTAGCAGCAAAACGTAAAAGTAATTCACAGGCGAAGGTAAAACATAATCATTATTTGTAAAAATACTTGAGATTCATATCGCATTATCAGCAACCCTCCGTCCTTTCGAGTAAGACCAAAAAAAGGTAATAACAATGTTCTTTAACGAGTTAACCTCGTTTATTGGGTGTTTGTAAGAACCGCAGTGTGGGCGCACCCTACGAGCGCCGCCACCTACTTAGCGAGCAGTTGGTCCTCGTTACTTGCAGCTATCTATTCTATTGCCGCTACGTGTAAACACTGGGAAAAGAATAGTATGGCCGGAACAGTAGGCGATAAACAGAACCACTGTAAACGTTATGAAATGATACATACGGCGCATTCCGCCTAATTGTACTTGTATTTATGGAACACTTCTGCCTGTTCTAGAATTTTGGCTTAAAATAATATCAGCGTAGCTAACTTGTAAGATCTCGTGTGCCTCTTAGTTCCTGTTATACTGGCATTTTTGTTAGCGCAGATAGAGGTTAGTTTTGTACCTTCATACATTAATACATTATAGACAGAAATTTTACCAAATCACATGATATTTTTAACAAATTACAGATATGAAAGCATATGTGTTTCAACGCGTAAGGTAAAGTTAACAACGGTTATCGAGATTAAACTGAGTTTTCAAACTAATGGCTACGTTACGTTATCGACTGTTATGATATTTTTGAATTATGATAAAATCACTTTACACTTTATTTAAACAATCGATACGAAAATAAAATACAATTTTATGATTTAGGGGACTCGAACAAATTTCTTCCGCTCTCAATATGGTCCATAGAGTTAAATGCGCAACAGACGCCTACGCGGGTTATAAACAGTCGTGTAAATCAATAATAGTTGTATTAGATCGTTAATTCTATCGGTGTAATATATCAGATCGTAGTTACCAATAAGTGGGCAATAAAAGAGCCAACATTAGCTGAAAGAAATACGCGTGCTCCTGATTTATGCGTGATAGGAACGCGGCCGCCCCTTTTTCAATAAGGGTCCTGATAAGAATCATTGCCTATCGCCGCGTGACGACCGTCGAGGCATGCAATTAATTCGCTTTTTACAAGTCTTTCTTGTGCGCAAAAAATGTCATGATTTTTTAGAGATTGTGTGAAAATCTTTCCAAAATAATGTTATATTTACAGAAACTAAATGTAACTTTTTATAAACATATTTATGCACGTCGTGGGCGTACGTACCCGTTTAAGAGTACGTCTATGCAAAAACTACAGAATTTATGATATTTAAAATCAATATTAATAAACATAGATCAGACCTGCCAAATACCATTTCAGACACATCTTATTTTTTTAAACGGACTACAGTTTGTGTTTCTCCGGTTGTAGCTCTTAGCTCTAAAGTTTAGGACAAAGTACCATACAACCAAAATCTATGGTAGATTGTGTATGTAAAGAATAATTACGTATTTTTATTATTAATTATTAATTTTATTTAAAAACACAGGTAAGTATCTTATAATCTAAGCCCCACAAAACCGTTGGAATGGTTTGACTGCGGGGTCGAGTCGCTAGACATTACAATTAAATGTACTTATATTTAAATGTACCTACATTAAATTCAGCTGCAAATGTTTTCCTGTTTCTTTCTTTTTAAACAATAATTATTGTTCAAAAATTAGTTTATATATGTATAGTAATATGTTTAGTAATTTAAAATTTGTGAACTACATTCTTTTTCAATTTTTTCTATAAAATTTGTTTAATCCGCTGGTTAGCATGTCGATTATTAAATGACATAGTATATAAGATACTATTTCAAGGTGGTAATACTAATCTCCCCTGATAGAACGCGGCTGAATAATTTATTTCGTTAATTAGGTAAATGCACTAATCTCATGAACTCAAGCTGTTTGAATTTAATTTTGTATAAACCACTTATAACACTTTTAAAACTATATTAAAACTATATAATATTAAACTATAAATAATTCTTTACCATTTTTAACTTTTAGTGAATATCATAATTATTTACCTCCTTTTAACCGAAGTGGTAACAGATATTACAGATATTTTTAAAGTCTTTAAATAAAACGAGTTTTATGTACATATTGTTCTTATTATTAATTAAAAATAAGAAATAAAAAGCTATTGGCATACCTACATTGAATTCAGGACTTCAGGTTTTGGCTTGACAATGTTTTTAGACATTTATACTTTTAAAAGAGACGGACCTCGGAGTTTGTTTCGGCATTTCTTCTCAGAGTAGTCAGTTAGGAAATGTCGACCATATCGTTCGCTTAAAAATTGACGTGTCAAATGTTGAATACAGAAATAAAGTCACTTGTTTCACTTG